TTTTTCCAATGTGAGAGAGCACTTGAGTTTTGATTTCAGCTTACCAATTAAAAACTTCCAAGAAGATGGTCTTTTGATTGTAGTAATTAGAGGGCTGCCCATGTAGACTTCATCATTTTTCATCTCCACCACTCCTAATTCAGCCATTATAGCCTCTTTCACTAATTGAATGCTGTTCTTACTAAAGAATATGGCTGATTTGTTGAATTTGACCATTTGACCTAACCAGTTACCAAAAAAAAAATGATGATTTCTTCTATCTTTTGGGCTTCACTCAAATATTCTTTCCCAAATAGTGAACTATCATTTGCAAAAAGCAGATGATTTTGTCTATCGTGAGAGTTATTGAATTTGGAACCAAGTAGTTCACCCCTTAAGAATTGCTTGAGATGATAATTTGAAAAGGGTTTCAATGTAGATGATGAATAGATGGGGTGAGAGAGGGTACCCTTGGTGTACCCTTCTTTGGGGTGTAAATGCTTTGCTACATTCACCATTAATTATAATTTTCAAGTATAAACCTTAATTAGAGAGCAGAAGAAATCAGAGAAGCCAATACTGTGTAAACAATGAATGAGAAAGTGCCAATCAACTCTGTTATAGGCCTTTGCAAGGTTAAGTTTCAGTAAGAAAGACCCCTTCTTAGATTTACTTTTGTTCATAGAGTGAACTATCTCTTTAGACATCACAATATTGTCCAAGATCTGCCTTCCTAGCATGAAGGCATTTTGAAAGGGGGTATAATTTTATGAAGTAGAGGTTTCAATCTACCAACCATGATCCTCGCCACAATTTTTGCAAGTGATGTTAGGTAAGCTAATGAAGTGGAAGTCACTAGGTAGTTGCAACTTAGGCTGTGTTTGGAAATAATGCAAATAAGTGTGAATGCAAATATGTAGAGTGTAAAACGGTTCATATAAATTGTAAAACTGGGCTAGTTTTGTACTGAAAAATTTACCTTCTTACTGAACAAACTTTTAGCTGTAATAGATGCAAACATGAATTCCAATAAAGCATGTACTTTTTTTTATCAAAAGTCCACTTGAATGCAAATTTACTTCTTTCTAATTGATGTACTTTTACATCTTATTATCAATGTAAATATGTATTGATCTGTCATTTGTCGATGCATAAATATAATGTTGTCAAACACAGGCAAAAGTGAACCAGAATGCAAATTTACCCTGAACCAGGATTTTACACTCCATTTGCATTGTTTCCAAACGCAACCTTATTCTTTTTGGGATGAGAACCAATATAGTGTCATTAATGAAAGTAATAAAATTAGGGTTGAGAAAAAGACCTTTGACAAATGAGCAAAGCTCCTCTCCAATCACATCCCACCCATTTTCATAAAAAAGAGTGTGCAGTACATTAGGGCCAGGTGCTTTGAGAGGGACCATGCTAAAAGAACTAATTTGATTTCATCATTTGTAGGGATGGAAAAAAGAAGATCATTCGATCTCCAGTGGTGTTATGACTGAAGGCAATAATTGATCATCCATCATAGAGAAATCTAGTGAAAAGATTTTTATAAAAGTTAATTAAAGAGAGCTCAATTTGTTTGGGATCTGAAATCCATTAACTACTATTGTCCTTAAGCCAATGTATACCATATATTCTTTTCATGTTGTATAAATGTGGAAATATTTGGCATTACGATCACCATGTTTTAGCCAGTCCCTTCGAGTGTGTTGGATTCATGATCAAATTGATTGCTAAGGTCTGTATGTATAGGTGAATTTGATTGCTAATGTCTCACTTTAGTAACTCGAATTCATGATCAGGTTGGATTATGAACCTTGGGCTGAAGATTAAAGGGTGTAATTAGGATTAGAGGGATACGTTAATTTGGGTTATGATTGATATCAAACCCAATGTTGGGTACCTAGTTTAAAGAATTTACACTACAAGCCCATTCAAATTTTAACAAATACCCAATTCAAACCCACTTAAGTTGCACCCTTATCACCACCATAAGTGCTTAAGATTGTCTTTGGTTTGAAAGAAAAGATAAGAAAAGGTAGGAAAACATGTACAAGCAAACAAACAAGCCTAAATAAAAAATGGATCCAAGTATAATCTACAATGATCCGTTTAGTTTTAATATTGTTGAGAACAATACAATGGAAGGGTTGAGGGGCATAATAGCTGAAGTGACTGCTTGATTTTCAAGTGGATAAAATAATTAAATTATAAACTATTTAATGATATAATAATAAACCTAGCTTCACCTTCAACCAGGAACTTTCAACCTCCTTAATAAGTGCCCATTTGGGAAGGTTTTGAAGTATGTAGTGACTTTTGGATTTATCAGTTAGTGTGCATATGTTTTGTACATGGCAATTTTTTACGATGATTATTATGGTAAACAATATGTTTCCAAAATATCATACAAATTTTCTTTTATATTTTTATGTCTATAAAAATTATTCTTATTTTTTATACTTATTTTTGTTTAATATGATGAATATTTGATATTAGAGATGCACTCAAATATTTTCTATAAAAGTTTTATATGTTTATACTTTTGTGTGTTTTTATATTTTTTAATTATTATTATTATTATTATTATTATTATTATTATTATTATTATTATTTAATTATGACATATAGGATTGACATATTTGACCCAAAAGATAGAATTGTTGACTTGCCTACCAAATAGGAAAACAATTCCATTTTTGGGTTAGTTTTAAATTTGTATTTTACTTCTATCATCAATTAAAATAATTATTCTTTGCCACACTTATTTTTCTTTAACATGGCTAATTAATATAGGATTTAGTGAAAGAATGGGAGTTAATTCCCGAAATATAAGACAATTAAAAAGAATTAAATAATGATAAATATAATAGTTGTGATTACATTTTGTGCCCTCGAAATTAGAGAGGGACCATTCATAAAGGGGGTAGTCTAGTCAATAATAGGATTTAATGGATGTTAATAAGAATTGATACCTTAAATATAAGAATTTAATGGGAGGGGGGATTTGAATGAGTGGAAAAGTGGTAGTTTAAATTATATTTCTTACCTTTTGATTAGAGAGGGGTCAAATTGAAAATTTGGAAAAATTAGAGTGTTTTAATCAAACAGAAGTTTATACTATCATTGACACTTCTAATAGTAGTATAGATATAGAAGAGGTGGTCTTCATAGAACAACTTATAAATTAAAAAAAAAAGAAAAAAATCCTATATATCATAGTTTTTAAAAATGACCTGGAGACCGAATCGGTTAGAGTCCGATTACTGGGTCAAACGGTCGGCTCGTTCTGGCAAAAAAAATAAAAAAAAATGGTCAAAATCATTTGAACGATTAATCGCTTGGGTCGGTCGTTTGCTGACCTAAATCAACGGTTTTGAGCAAATTTCTGATTTTTGGAAAAAACCGGAAGTGGTTGCTGGTTTTTCCAGTCCGGTCTAGTTTTGAAAACCATGCTATATATTATGTCTGGTGAAAACCTCAAAAAGACCAAAATAGCTATACATCTTTAAGCCAGAAATAGACCTTTCTGCTGAAGTTCTTTTAAGTGTCTGCTTGGAAAACCGTTAAGCGATGCTTGATAAAAAATAGTCGGACGAAAATTCGACCCTCCCAAAGGGGTGGGGGACAGCATGAGTTTCCATGAATCAGACTCAGTAATTTGCCAAACATATTTTTGTGGCAAACACATTTACATTGGCTTACTTGATGAACGGCTTCAATTGATGGGCCCACCCATCCAATCCATCAATCTATCCCCACTCAAATCGCAGCAGTTCAACATTGGTAAATGTGAAAAATATCCACCACTTGAAGTTGCTATCTGGAGATGTCCTACCATCCAAAATTCTGTTTGACAAGGCAGAGAATCACAATGGGTCCCCTTTTTGTAGCAAATAGCGACCGTTCAAATGTACCCATATTGATTGGATTGGCTACACAGAGAATCGGGAAGTACATGTCTCATCTAGGTTTTCTCCATTGTTAGCCCATCGCCCGACATGTTAAACTGTCATGCATTAAATTTAAAACCATCACAGCCAACACCCAAGAGAATAGGTCCATAAATCAATAGACCACAAGAGTAGTCCACTAGATTATTTATCAGTACACGTGGCAAACATGATTAGAGTATGACTCCACCTTGCCAAATGATGATCACAAATTGTTTCTAACTTGTCCAAACAGCTGTGATTGAGTTGGGATCATGAGAACATATAATGAATTATAAAAATACAACCCTAAGCATGGTTTTCTCCCTTCAAACAACCAAGAAGTGAGAGTGAATTGGAATCATAATCAGAATGGTTTATTTATTTAAATGTTTGGTTCAGATGTGATTCAAAATCAGATTGTATTAGAATGGAATTCTCATTTTCAAGGGAGAGGGATTTGATGGAAATCATGGAATGCCATTGTATTAAGAATTTTAGAACTGGATTTGGTTTCCTCTCGATCAAATGGTTGGAATTGAAATGGGACATTCCCATTTGAAACCCTAATCCTACAAAGCAAATAGGCCCTAAAATAGAAAAATAGAAGAAAAAAATAGAGTGAACAAGTACAATTATATAATGGCAAATTATAATTTACCCTCTATTTGACTTTATAATTAGTAGAATATAACCCTGAGACAGAATGGGTTTCTTGCTTCAGACAAGTCAATAAGTGAAAATAGAGAAAAAAAAGAAGAAAAATAATAAAGGGTAGACAAGTGCAGTGATGTAATAATTATGAAAACAAAGGCTATTTGACTTATAAAAATACAACTTTTTCCTTTTATAAAATACAACATTGAGACATCAAAAAAAAACCCAAAAAAGTTAAAATAAAGAGTAGGCAAGTGCAATTGTGTAATAATAATGAAAATGGAGGGCAAATTAATCCACGACGAGTAAACAAACATTAGCTTCCTTATTGTCTGCATTTTCTCTCTCTAACTGCATTAACTATCGAGGACAAACAAACAATATTAAAAGCTGAGGCACACATACAGAGAGAGATGATGAGAGACAGGGAGGAGAGGGGGAGAGAGAGTGAGCGGTTTCCTCTCTGAAATATATAAGCATATAAAACAAGTAATAAATTACCGAGGGCAGTACAGAAATCCATCTTCCATGGGCGGGAATAAGAACTGCTACATTTGAAAAAAGGGAAACAAAAAGCTGAAAAGTGTTCTTAAGACTTCTTGAGCCCTCCATGAGCACATGCTCTTCCTTCTTTATATTCGAAATAAAGGTAAAATATTTAAAAATATGCCATTTTCAGCTCTTCCCTCATGTTCTGCTGTTTCTGCATTTTTACTGACATTCCACAGATTATTTTTTTTCCGAGTTTTTAATGTTTTTTTGTATTCTGCAACAGCCTCATTTTACAACTAATTTAGTTGGTTTGCTTCGATCTTAGGGTTGGTTTAGCTCCCAGTCAAAAGGCGTCTGATTTGGGTCAAGTTTCTCTTCCGCTATTATTTTTTTTATATATTTTCCATTTATAATATTTGTTTGGAGCTTGGTGAAACTTTAAAGCAATGAAGCTCTTGATGGGTAGTTCAGTTTTAGGAGTTTCTGAACTGGGTATTCATCGAATACCAAAAAAAGAACTGGGTATTCATGATTTCTGAGTTTCTTCGAGCATCCGAGGTATGTTCACTTAGATTCTGTTTCTATATTTTATTTTGTTTTTGTTTTTTAATGTGGCATTTTTTGGGGAGATTTGGTAGGCCTGGATTAGATGGTTGGTTCTCATTTTGTCTTTAAAGTAATGAGTTGTTAAAGGTTACAGTTTAAGGGTTTTTGGCAATCTCTGTTGTTGTTGGGTGATTGAGCTTGAAAAGCAACCCTTCATAATCTATCTTTGTTTTCCCCTTTTTTTCTTAACTTTGTTTTATTTTGTTTTGCCTTTTTATCTTTATTTATATAGAAACTTTTTGGTTTTAAAAAAGATATAATATATAAAATATATTTCTGTTGGAGGTTGGATGGTTACTGGGGTGGATTTGAAGCAAAGGTGAGGGAATGATGAACAAAAGCTCTTTTTTGTTTAAAGAGCTGAGGCTGTGGGTGAGGGAACGGATTTCTTGGTTTTTAGGGTTTGGTTTATTCTGTTTAGAGTTCTTTTAAGTAGCTATTTTTTCTTTTCTGCATCTGGACTTTCCTTAATGAATATGTTTTCCAGCTCAAGCGTTCCTCCACTTTCTTGTAATTTTGATTAATTGTCTGGGATCCACAACTTTGGTTTCATGGTGTTTGTTAGTTATCCATGGAAGAATTGTGGGAATGTTTGTGCAGATGATGTTTATGTGAACTTTTAAAGAGGCTCTAGATCATTGGATTGGGAGATGGACCGCCGGAGCTGGTTATGGAGAAAGAAGTCTTCTGAGAAGAGTCCAGGAGAAACAGAAAGTTCGGGATCAATATCTTCTCATTCTGAAAGATGCTCTGATGATCAGGTAGATGCTAACTCCTTTCCTAGAGGGCAATGTTGCCCCTGTTTTCTTTCTCTTTGTTGTACAGTATAAGGTTTTGATTTGCCTCTAGAATAAGAGTTGTCTGGTAGATGCTGTAAGGCTATGCTTATTTGTTATGCCATCATCATAACTTGATCTTCTAGTTATCTGGTTTATATGAAGCAATAAAGGAAATCTTGACTGCTTTAGTTCCACAAAAATACCTCAGAGAGAACTAAGCACACGTTTAGAAATTTTGTTAGTCTAACCAGTATGCAAGCTAGTGACTTTCATATTATTCTTGCTGACCTTATCCAGTCCCATTTGCTAAATTTAATCCCCTTTGTTATATTTTAATCAGTGGTAAGAACCAACACTTGCTGAGGTTCTGTAAATATTTAGGGCCTACATATTGATTCTTGAGTAAATTTTGACGAAGAGAATAATATGTTTAGAATGAAGGAGAGGCTCCAGAATCGTCCAGGAACAATGACAAAGAAAGTAAACTGATTCTAGGTTGCTGCTTTCCTGGTTTGTGTAATTCTTGAATTTAATTTGTTTGGTACTGCATTGCCCAACTATAGATGAATATAGAATACTTATTGATAAAAAAAAATGAATATAGAACACTACCAGAAAATAAACTGATTCTGACAATTGACACTGTCGTTAAACATTGGTGGAAATAACAAAACGTCAAATTTGCCCTCTATTATTCTTCAAATTTTCAAAATAAACCCAACAGATTGAAAATAACAAACTGAAACTGATAAAATATTAAAAGAGTTGGCAAGCTTTCCCTAAGAAGTTGGTTGGGCCCATTAACTCTACAAGTTTTTAAATCAAACCATTATCAGTCAAGAAAAATTAAGCAGCCAGCCAGCCAGCTAACTAGAGGGATTCTGCCATGAGGATTCACTCCCAAACTTGAGATGGAAATCTGACTTCGAATAGCCCTAATTAAAGGAGTGAAGAGGAGAAAAGGGCTTAGAGAATAGAGGTTACATAGTAATGGCAATGCTTGAGTTCAAGCATTAGATGGCATTGCTTTAAGTGCTTTCAAGTTTTAACATCATCATTCTATTGGACCCATAACAAAAGGGAGTTGATCGATCTGATCATTTCATTGATGGGGCTGTAGTGAGAATGGGCCTTAGTGGTTTTATTTCTTTTAAGTTATGCTTTAAGTTTATGTTCTTTTAGTTATGGGCCTCTTTTGGTTTGTTTTATTAGTTCTTTAGTGTTGGCTGCTCTATTAAGGGCATCTAAGGAATTGTAATCAGTTTTATCAAAGCGGGTTCTCACCTTCAACATCTTTTTCCTTTCTTAGACCATACATAGTGTGTATGGAGAACTGATCGGCTGATCAATTAGCAATTTATGTAGGAGGTTTTGTGGAGATTTTCATCCTTTGTTGAAGCCCAAGGTAGGTTCTTGGATTTTTTTCCCGAAAACCCTATATAACTGGAGAAATCTTGTTACAGGTCCTAGAGACACTTTGAAGTTGGTGCTTGGGGATCAAAGGAGAGCACTTTGGTTTCTATTAAAGGCAGTTTGTGTTGGACAGAGTTCTGAAACCTCTAGTAGGAGTGGTTGAACTTTCTCTCCTTCTCCTATCTTGCCAGGTCCTGTGAAACCCTAGTTTTAGGTGATTTGAGAGCAATTTTTTGCTTGAAATAGCAAATCTAGCCTAGTAAATCCTTGATTTGATTTTCATTTGCATCTGTTCACTCAATGGAGCAAATCGGAGGAGAAGCCAAATATCCCACAGATTTTGGGTTTGGACATGGAGGGCTGGTGGAGACTGTTAGGGGTAGTGACCACTGTGAAGCTGGATGGAACCAATTATTTAGCTTGGTGTCAATCAGTTAAAATACATGTGTGTAGTAGAGGGAAATGGAGGTACATTATTAGGAGCAAGAAGATATCAAAGGAGGATGATCCTACCTATGAAAGGTGGATGCAGGAAAACTACACAGGAGGATGACCCTCACCTCCCCAACATCCAATCACTTCGGTCTTTGCCTCTGACTTTAGCCTTTTAAATCTTGGTTTACTATGCATGACATTGAAAAGAAGAGTTTGTAAGTTCTAAGTAATTAATTTGGGGAAGAGAAGAAGATTTTTTTTTTTTTGATAATCGGGAAGAGAAGAAGATTAAAGTGCAAGGTTCCTTGAACAATATTTTGGATCTTCTATTCTTCTAGCTTAAGCAATTAGATTTTCCTACCCTGCCCCTACTTTCTATGTGTATTTTTTTTTTTCATTTCAGAGCAATAAAATTCCAATCAGAGGGTGGAAATCAGGCCAGATAGGTGGCTTAAAGTTCAACCCATCCACCAAAGCACTAGACTGTATCAAAGTCCTCTATCTAGTTCCATGGCGGTTCAATTCACTTTGAAAATTTGAACCTGTATAAATGTAAGTACTCAGACCAAAAAAGTTTAACTACCTCCTCTTATTTTAATACTAGTTTTAGTATAATGCTTTGGGTCTGGGGTCCACATCATGCCACATTCCCTTTTCTGATTAATAAATTTATAATTGCACTAGGGTGTGCCAAGGAAAAATAATGATATAGGTTGCCCACATTAAGTGCCAATTTAATCCATTGATCAAGCATCAAACTAATGATCTAGACTATCCAAGTATTATTTATCTATTTATTTTTTGATAAATAACTTGAGTGGCCAATTGGTATGACAAGGTCAAGCATCTGATTTGGGTCTTCCACACAGTATCCAGAAATTGATCCAATGGCTTGGGCTGTTTAAGTTGTGTCTCAAGATCAAATCAATGATTTAAGCCATGCAAGTAGTGTGCTATAATGAAACCAATGATTTAGACCATGCAAGTGGTTTCCTAAAATCGGATTAATGATTTAGGTCATCCAAGTGACAGCTATGGTTAAACTGATAATTTAGACATCCAAGCTGTATGTGAATAACAATCCAGTTGTTTGGACCATTATGTGTCAAGATTGAATTAATGAGAAGCACTACTGAGGTGCAAGGTGCAAGGTAAATACATGCTTGAATGGAGTGATTTGCCACTTTTGAAAAAAAAAACTTATAAGAATATAAAGGGCAGTCCATTGCAAGAGACTCCCGCTAATGCAGGTTCTGGGGAGGGACAGCCGTACACAGCATTTTGTGTGGACAGAACTTACACTTGTAATGGCTGTGATCTGCAAGCTTGAAATCAGTATGATCTCAGGTTCTTCAGTGAACCAGCAATTGTCTAGAAGGTGGTACAGAGTTGCAGAAAGTTTTCAATGTGAAAACTGAATAGTTTCTAATGTAGAAACTGAGAGAGAAATGTCACCTACAAGTAAGCACAATAGGGCTACAGGGGTTACAAAGTTGAACACACAACAATTGCGGAAACTAGAAATGACAGTCCAGAAAATAACATGCTGGATTGCAAGGTTCCATTCAGTTTATATAGGCCCTTCTACAACAGTAGAATTAATGACATATAGGAACTCACCTACATTATAAATACTCTCACGTTCCCCAACATTCTATGATTCCCAAAGGTCTCTTTGACTAACACAATAATAAGATGTTGACCATTTAATGTAGTCACAACTTACTATGACTCCACAGAGGACTACTGAATGCATTCTCAACTACTAAATTTGACATAAATAGGATATTAATGACAAATTTGACTCCAGCAATGGATCATCTAATAACCACTCGAAGCCCATTTCACCAAGTAGCCCATGGCCCATGAAGCTGGCTCAGAATTCCTAGGCCTCGAAATTCAGGTCTAGAAATTGAATTTCATAAGCTGCTACTTCTTGTTCTACATTCTGCCACTTGGCCCATCTTGGTTGCCATAAAAAAGAAACAAAATATTGAAAGTCTATTAGCTTTTCATTTTGATAATTAAAATGGCCTATTGGCTCAATTGGTTAGACTGTTATGGCGTTATAGTATCTTATTATAAACAGAAAAGTCGTAGCATTGTATGTTCAACTGTAACATAGGATAAACTATCTAAACATCATAGGTAATATCTATTCAACATCAAATTCAAGGTTAACTCATCAACATATAGAAAAAAGCAAGGACGGTTGCAACCTACAAAATGAGTCTGAGTCTAAGTGCCCAAAGGTGTATCTTTTAAAACATTTCTTTGTATGCCACTTAGATGATGATCTTGGTATGCCACTTGGATGTCTTGTTTGGCTCACTACTTGGATGCCATTGTCTTAACACACCAATTGGATGGCTGATGTAACTGACATGGAATGTTGCAAATTATCAAAAAAAAAAAAGGAAATTGGAATGCTATAGGTCCGTAGGTCTAAGGCATTACCCTAGGAAAGGGGGAAATATTTGTTGAATGGGTTGAACAAGTCAGATTCTGGTGCCTGATTTTGTGGGTCTGGGTTGTCTCAATTCTCAAAAGAACCAAGAAACTGGATAAATGCATCTGATATGGGTTGAGCATTATTCATTGGTTGCTTTTAGTTTGATTCAAGCTGCTGAATTGCCAACCTTTCCCCCCAATCAAGAATATTTTTTTTCTGGTAGGTCTTCCAATCAGGAACATTGAGAGATTAAAGAACGAAATATGTTGATAAAAAAATTAAAGAATGAAAAAAGAAAGTGCATACAAAACAAGAAAAGTAAAATATGCATAAGGAAACATATAATGGAGAAGTGGCTACAACTTAATGAAAAAAGTGATTAAAAAACCATGGAGGCAACTGGATAAAGACTTAATCTATTTTAACTTTGATGGAAATAGCCTTGGCAACCTGGGACTTCGGAGTGGGAGGAGTCTTCAAGGATGAAGAGGGTAGAATATCCAGTGGGAGTAGGGGATTCTACAAGGGCAAACTCTTGGCTGTTCTTCAAGGAACACAGTTGGTAAGGGACTTAAACCTGCACAAGTTAATCATTGAAGGGGACATGCAAGTGGTGGTTGAAGAATGATGAGGAGGCCCTGCAGAGATGAACTTGGGAAGTTCAAACGGTTGACTAGGGATATTCACATGAAGATACAATGGGTATGGAGGTTTGCAAATGGTATGGTAGATGCACTAGCTAAGCAAGGGTTAAATAGGGATGGGTTTTATTGGGCTAATTTAAAGTGATAATGGTTTGGATAGGGTAGGATAATCCACCCTCTCCAAGGGGCACTTGCGATCAACATTCAAGGTATCAGACTATTGGTAATGAAATGGATACACTTGTATACATTGGGGAAACTCGTACAAATCCCACAAATACATCAATGATAATAAATCTAAAGTTGAAACATATACATATTGTACAATAGTTTTACTAATAATACATATACATATCATACAATAATTTACTAATAATACATCAAGCAATGTTTGAGCTTCTAATCCACTAAAATTTCACTACAAGACACATTAAGTTGTTGGACCAATGAGTTTGATAGATCATTGCTAGATCCATCTTATAGTTCTTCCTTGCCATGAATATCAATTAGAATATATAAAGTAAATGACTTTTTATTTTTCAAAGTTTCCCTGAAAATTAAGAAAAACCATTTTTGGCATAATTTTTTTTTGATAATTGAAGTATGATTTTATTAACAGAGTATGAGATTACAAGCAGCCCAAGGAGATTCTGGCATACATTATTGTTAGATGAATAAATTGAAAAGATCATTGATAAATCCATTTGTAATTCTTACCTGCAATGAAGATCATTTAAAAAAAATTGAAAGTGTTACCTGCAATAATTTTTCCTTTCATGAGGCTCTTTGTGGCTCTTGGAAGATAAGTGTGTTTGTCTTCCTCTTGTAAATTCTTTATTGATGATTTTCTGATGATTTAATGAAAGTGTTATTGATAAAAAAAAATGAAGATCATTAAAACATATAAAAATCATTTATAATTTTCCATAGGTTTTTGGGACAGCCTATGGAAATTGTCAAAAAATTCAGAAGAATTAGCATTTTTATCTATGCCAGCCATCATGTATCCACATGTGACAGTGTAGTTGTATTATTTAGTGGCGATCGTGACCGACAGTATAGTTGTATCATTTTCGTTGCATTCCACGTATCCACATGTTTGGATACCAATGTGGTATGCCCTGTATTGGGCATATCATGTCAATATCTTAAACCTTAATGTATGTAAATTTCTATTGATATTTAGTACAATGTTCTCTTGTCTATCAAAGAAACTTGTTAAATATTATATTTCTTTCCGGGTCTTATACTTGTTCATTGTTGATTTCCCATGATGTATTGCATTAAGTATTTGGTTTCTGTTTATAATGTGGTTGGTGACATTGGTTTTATCTTTTCACATGGTGCTGTATTGGCATTGGTGTAGCAGGAGACATCAAGGGCTTCTCCAAATCACAACACACTATCTCCAGAGATCACATCCAAAGTCACGGCTAGCAGTGAAGAGGTCAATGACAATGTGAAAAGCCTGACAGATAAATTAGCAGCTGCTCTTTCAAATATCAGTGCAAAAGAGGACTTGGTAAAGCAGCATGCCAAAGTTGCAGAAGAAGCTGTCTCAGGTAGGAAGCATTTCAGCAAGAAACAAGGTCACTGACCTAATTCTATTTTTAAACAAAGGAGAATCTGAAAGATACTCCAAGGCTGGACAACGGTTTTAAGCATGGTGCTTGTCTGTTAATCTTTGCCATCCAGATATTGGGCATTTCCTCTGATTTTCCAGAAAAAAATGCATGTCTGATTATTCTGACTGTTGTGGGAATACAATATAAGCCATAAATTGGACTCTTGTGCCATCCAAAGAAAAGACTTATTAGCACTTGGTAGTTAGGTTTGTGACCAATCCATGAGGTATCCACATCAGCCCTATATTTCTAATATGCATTGGATGTTCCTCCTATGAACAACAGCCACTGAAATATGCATGGTATTTATATGCCAAATGGTAACACATTCTGTTCCTTTGGGTTGTCAAATGTGAGCTGTGTTATCATACATCAAAACAGGGAAGAATCCATAAGGAAGGAAATCAACTCTCGGACCTTCTTAAACTCCATGATATGATGAGTTTACATAGGGGTGCCAAATGACCTTGTTAATCGTTGGGCTTAACTTCCACCCTTATCTATTTTATATTTTTTACTTTGTAATGAGAAATAAAAAGACAAGACTGCTCCTAGTAGGCAGCAACAATAGAAAGACGTAGAAAACTAATTATGTGTGGCTCAAAGGGCGTATTACAAACCCGCCCATAATGACCTTGTTAATCGGTGGGCTTAACTTCCCACCCTTTTCTATTTTATATTTATTCACTTTGTAATGAGAAATAAAAAGACAAGATTGCTCCTAGTAGGCGATAATAATAGAAAGACATAGAAAACTTATTATGTTTGGTTCAAACGGCCTATTACATAACCCGCCCATAAAATAAACAAGTAAACTATTGGCCCGTATTTCAACAGTTTGTTTTGAAGCTATTCACTGTCAAGAATGTAATATTCTTTTTTCTTTCCTTTTCTATTTTTTTATCTCTTATGGTGCACTGTCTCTTTTTTTCCTTTCTCTTCTATATTTTATATCTAAATCTCTCTTTTCATAATTTAGATCTTTATTCTTCCTTTCTTTACCCACCATGTACACCCTAGTAGGACTTCCTCTTCCTATCTTACATCACTATGGATCCGGACAATAATATCTTAGACAATGAGAAAACCTCTCTAGGTCTAGAGAAGCCTTCTATGTGAAAATGGAGGCCTAGCCTCTACTTATTAGGATCAAGTATGATGTCATTGCTCACATGAAGTATTGTTCTTGAATGAAACATTTGATAGAAATACTTGAGCAAAGATATATGGATATCTTAAAAAGTTGGATAGTTCTGTCTTGCTTATGGTAACTAGAAACTTATTGTCTATTAGTGTTATTCATGTCAATTGGCATTTTTTGATTGACTGTACTATGGATGAGCATGCCCTTACTTTACACTCTCTCTTGTATATATGTATTTTTTAATGAAAGAGATTGCTTCTTTATTTGAGATGATTTCATATTTTGTAGGAGAGTAACTTGTTACATTTAAAATTTCAAATGCTAGGCTGGGAAAAGGCAGAAAATGAAGTGGTGGCTTTGAAACAAAAATTGGAATCTGCCACTCAGAAGAACTCAACCCTTGAAGATCGGGTGAGCCACCTTGATGGAGCTCTCAAGGAGTGTGTCAGGCAGCTTCGGCAAGCACGAGAAGAACAAGAGCAGAAGATCCATGAAGCTGTTGTTGAAAAAACCAAGGAATGGGAATCTGTTAAACTTGAGCTTGAGAGCCAAGTTGTTAATCTCCAGAGCCAAGTTGAAGCTGCAAAACTTGAAGCAGCTGCCAATTCTGATCTGTGCTCAAAGCTCGAGTCTGCAGAGAAAAAAAATGCTGCCCTTAAACTTGAGCTTCTTTCCCGAGTTGAGGAGCTTGAAATTAGGACTTTGGAAAGGGACTTAAGTACACAAACAGCTGAAACAGCTAGCAAGCAACATTTGGAAAGCATAAAAAAGGTTGCTAAGCTTGAGGCTGAGTGTCGCAGACTAAGGGCAATGTCCCGGAAAGCACCTTCGGCTAATGATCACAGGTCTGTTACTGCCTCTTCATTTTATGTTGAATCGCTCACTGATAGCCAATCAGACAGTGGGGAGAGGTTACTTGGAATGGAGATTGATACTCATAAGATGAGTAGCATGGAGCTGAATGATGGTGAGGCAAGCTACTCAGACTCATGGGCATCAGCTCTGATCGCAGAACTTGATCAATTCAAGCAAGACAAAGCCATTGGTAGAAACCTCACTACGTCTTCTGTGGAGATTGATCTTATGGATGATTTCCTTGAGATGGAGCGACTTGCAGCTCTGCCTGAAACTGAGAGTGGGGATCCTGAACCAGTAGCTGTTCCAGACCAAATTGATAGAGGGGAAAGCTCATTGAAAGCTGAGCTTGAAACTATGATTCAGCGCAGTGTTGAATTGGAAGAGAAATTAGAGAAGTTGGAAGAGGAGAAAGCACAACTGAACATAGCTTTGGCAGAGACTCAAAGTCAACTTGAGATGTCAAATAATCAACTTAAGACAGCTGAGGAGAAGTTGGTGGAACTGCAAAGGTGTCTAGATCTGGCCAACAACTTGAAGCAAACTACTGAGGAAAAGTTGGAGACTATCAATACTCAGAAAGAAGTCATTGAGTCACGCCTTGTAGGTGCAGATGCCGAGATTCGGGCCTTGCGTGGAAAGGTTGGTTCTTTAGAATCAGAAATTGAAAAGGAGCGGACCTTGTCAGAAGAAATTGTGGTCAAGTGTCGGAAATTGGAGGATGAGCTAACGAAAAAGAAACATGAAGCTGAACTTTGGAGAGCTTCAAGATCAAATGGTGAACTGAAGATAAAGCAGGTCAGTATTCTATGACATTATTTAGGGATCGTTTGGTTTGCGGGAATAGGGGTCTGGAATCAGAACATTCCGATTCCAACTGTTTGGTTGGGTGGAATCAGAATCCCATTCCCATTCCTGGTGGAATGGCATTCCCCCATTTGAAGGAATGGCCATTCCCTCCCCTCCCTTGGGAATGAAATCCCATTCCTTTCTGATTCCTGTCTGAACCAAACAGACTATGGGAATAGATCATTTCTGATTCTGATTCCAAAGGATTTTGATTCTGATTCCGACTGCAAACCAGACAGACCCTTATTTTGTATTATTCTCTTTATCCACATTCTTGAAAGTGTAATATGTAGTCTGTGTATCCTTCTATGTTTTCCAAGTCTGAAAATAGTGGTTCTGTAGTCTTCTAATATTTAAAGATAATGCTCTCCATGATTACTTCCATGGTTGTTTTCTGTTTATTTAATCTTCATAACCATGTATATTTTAGGAGAAAGAGCTTGCAGTAGCGGCTGGAAAATTAACAGAGTGTCAGAAAACCATCGCATCTCTTGGTAGGCAGTTGAAATCGCTAGCAACCCTGGAGGACTTCCTGATTGACTATGAGAAACCACTGGACCTCACTGTAGGATCGCCCATTCCTAAAGGTGGAGATCTATGGAAATTGCATTCAAATGATGCTCATTTACCCAAAGCAGAAGCCTATTCTTCCAAAATAGCTGGAGATGGCTCTGGTCCTTCTACGAATGGCAAAAATGGAGAGTCACCGCCATCATCCTCATCCTCGTCATCATCTTCTGCACTAAACCATGCAGTTGCCTCTGAGAAGAGCCAAAATGGGTTTGGGAAATTGTTCTCCCGGGGTAAGAGCAGCATTCCTGTAGAAAATAAGTGAAGTAGAAAACAGAAAGGGCTTTGGCGTTGCTGTTGTAAAGCAAAGCAATTATTTTCTCATTAGTGAAATTGGCAATTAATTTTTTGTTAATTGGCAGTTAATTTTACAACCATATATTGTCTTAAAATGTCTCTTTGGTTTCAATATCAAGTAGCTTATACACAAGGAAAATTGGCTCTGCTTCCATCTTGAATTTATCTCAGTTACCTGTAGTCATCTGTGTCAGGAATGGCATTTCATTCAAGTAATTGTGCCATTTCAAATCTACCCATCATTAGGTTTGTAAAAAGTATTGCCTTGTGAATACTGAATACTGTCCTTTGAAATTCATTTTGAAGTCAAGCCCCTAATAGAAAGGAAGAGCAATTTAGCAAGGATAAACTTGGTGATGCTGTTTCTTATTAGTTTGGCCAAAGTTGTATTGATAAGATGGTCTGAACTGAGCAGCCCTACGGACCCTACCTGGAAAGAAAGAAGAAAAAACATACCGTGGTTGACATTGGTGATCTATTGGCCGTGTTTGGTTCCGTGGGTGCTTATTGAAAAATCGCCACCACATCAGTGCCACATAGGCGTGGGCGTTTATTGCCTATGAAGCAAAATGAAACAACTGTTTCGTTTCACTGTTTATTAAATAAATGGTAGAAAATTGAAAGTTTTGATTTTTGTGCATGGGGCATTTGGGGAAACGTCGAATTCTTATTTCCCTCAATGCCCCAACGTTTCTTGAAACCAAATGCTGATGTGAAATACTTTAATAGGTATTAATTTGAGGTGGAGAGTAAAAAACATTTAAAGTGAAGCTCAACCAGACAATAAAAACCGAAAATGTTTAGAGTGAAAAAGTACAAATAAATGGCCTATACTTTATGGATTGACTATGTTATGGAAAAGATATGATATTTGAAAAACATCTGGCCAATCAATTGGAATCATAAACTAGGTAGCCAATCAAGTGTTATTTATCAAAAATGATGGGTGGGTTTTGATTGACCAAAACTTTTTCCATGCCATATGGCCCATATCTTTTCCATATCATAGATTTTCCCTATATGTTGGCATCTCATAAGAAAACCCAAATCAGAATCAATCAATGATGTCTACTTGCTTAGGTTTGGAAGGGCAGTCATTTTCTAAATGGAATGGATTAGGGTTGTTCACAGGTCGGGTTGGGTCGGTTTACTGAGGTTTTTCTAATCGATCCGACTTGGTCGGGTTACCTGAGATGGAAACCGAAACCGATTCAGTGTTAAGCAAAACCGACCTAATCGGTTTGAATCGGGTTGGGTCGGTTTCGGTTCTATGTTCATCCATGCCCCCCATGGCCACCTAGTTTTCTGAAAATATATTTAAAACTGAAATATGTATAATAAATTTTAGAAATATATATATAAACAAAAATATACATACAAATATATTGGAATATATATTTTCTGGAATTATATATCTGACATATTTCATAATATATATTTTTTAAATATAGATATCGGTTTATGAATTTGTACAACCCGAAACCAACCGGTGCTGCTGGAAAGGTAAAAGGAAAATAGTAGGTCATGAGAGGCTCGTACTCTCGACCTTAGGATTACTCAAAACCTACGATACCTACGCGCTAACCAAATGCGCCACCATCCCATTGAGATCTTATCATCAAGATAGTAGTATAAAACATGGTCCAGAGATACGTGTAATTTGTCCTTATCTTAGGCTTGACGTAAGCCTCTTTAATAGAAAATGGTTCCATGGTGTAGTGGTTAGCACTCTGGACTTTGAATCCAGCGACCTGGGTTCGACTCCCGGTGGGACCTTTTCTTTTCTAATATTCTATTTTCAATTTTGACTTCCGCATCGTGAGATGTGCGGTGTCACAATTCTACGGCTTGTGTTTGTTGGTAGGAGCTTGGAATGTGTATTGTTGGCAGGAAATCCCAATTCTACGGTTTGTGTTTTGAACTTTTGACATCTACAAGTCTTAGATGAGATCCATCTATCAATGGCCCAGATTGTCCGCACATAATACACGATTCAAGTCATTTAGGGCTGGGAGCCTCGGACAGAGACGGAGACCTTACAAGCACGGGCTAGGGTTTAGACTATTTTTATCTTTTGGAGCAAAAACCTAAGTCAGAACCCTGCTCTCCATTTCTCATTCTCTCTGTAGAATCAATGGCGGCAGCTCCTGCAGACAAGGGAAAAGGAGGGAAGGCTCGTAAGCCTTCCCCTAAGAAGAAGCAAAAGGAATTCTTCTCGGAAAAGCCTCCGAAAGAACTTGAAGATTCTGATACTGATAGCCCAAGTGAAGAAGACGGTTCTGAAACTTATTCTGATGGAGATGACCCTTTCGCCGACGACTTCCTCCAAGGAAGCGATGAAGCAGGGAAGGAATCAGGTTCGGATTTAGAATCTGAACCAGACGAGTCCGACATAGAGGAGAAGTCAAGGGCTATTGATGAAGAAAGAGCGAGGGAGGAAGAAGAAGCAGGGGCCGAGTTGCAGCTCAACATCAAAGAAGAATCCGATGAGTTCCGCTTGCCCACTAAGAAGGAGCTTGAAGAAGAGGCACTTCGACCTCCTGATCTCCCCAACCTGGAACGGAGGATAAAAGAGATTGTTAGAGTGTTGTCAAATTTCAAGCTTTTAAGGCAAGAGGGAGCTACAAGAAAGGATTACATTGGACAACTTAAGTTGGACTTGAGTTCTTACTATGGTTACAATGACTTCTTGATTGGTGTTCTGGTGGAGATGTTTCCAGTAGTTGAGCTTGTTGAGCTTATCGAAGCTTTTGAAAAGCCCCGGCCAATTTGCCTGCGGACAAACACTCTGAAGACTCGCAGACGAGATCTTGCTGATGTTTTAATAAACAGAGGTGTGAACCTAGATCCATTAAGCAAATGGTCAAAGGTTGGGTTGGTTGTGTATGATTCTCAAGTACCCATAGGAGCAACACCAGAATATATGGCTGGTTACTACATGCTGCAGAGTTCAAACTCCTTTTTGCCAGTCATGGCCCTTGCTCCACAGGAGAAGGAAAGAGTTGTGGATATGGCGGCAGCACCTGGTGGTAAGACTACTTATATTGCAGCTCTTATGAAGAATAGTGGAATAATTTATGCAAATGAGATGAAGGAATTCAGGCTCAAATCACTTGCTGCAAATTTACAGCGAATGGGTGTGACAAATGCCATAGTGTCCAACTATGATGGAAAGGAGATGCCCAAGGTTTTGGGTCTAAATTCTGTTGACAGGGTCTTACTAGATGCCCCCTGTAGTGGGACTGGGGTTATATCTAAGGATGAATCTGTAAAAGTTTCTAAAAGCTTAGATGATATTCAGAAGTGTGCTTTTCTGCAGAAGCAATTGATTCTTGCAGCAATTGACATGGTTGATGCTAATTCCAAATCTGGGGGGTACATTGTCTATTCTACGTGCTCCATAATGGTTCCTGAGAATGAAGCGGTTATAGACTATGCACTCAAAAAGCGGGATGTAAAGCTTGTGCCATGTGGACTGGACTTTGGCCGTCCTGGATTTACCCACTTCAGGGAGTACCGATTTCATCCATCATTGGAAAAGACAAGGCGTTTCTACCCACATGTTCATAACATGGATGGATTTTTTGTAGCAAAGTTGAAGAAGATGAGCAATTCTAAGCCAACAACGAAACCATCTGATGCAGCGGAAGCAGTAGAGCAGGCAACTGGGCCTAATATAAAGAACAACCTGGAAGAAAAATCTCAACCCAGAGTTCCTAGTGATCTTAAGGATGGGAACAAGATGTCTGACGGTGGCTTGGGAAAGAGAATACCAAAGAATGGAAAGGACGAGTCTGATTCCACAACTAAGACGAAGAAACGGAAAAGGAATTTTCCATCTCGAGAAGAAATTTCAAAAGCAAGAGAAGAAAGAAGAAAAGCTTTGAGGGAAGGTAAAGCCCCTCTAGCAAGAAGAATAAGAGGGCAGAGACGGCCCAATAAACTTGCATGGTAACATGATTCGTGGTCGTTGGAACACATTGTCTGCAGATTCATGAGGACGCTATTTGAATTTCAGGTCACAAATGAAGATACATGAGCTCAGTGCACATGGTATAACCATGTTATCTAGGCATCTTCTAGTCTTGCTACTTTGTGGATATGGAAGGGGTATTCATGCTTCATTCCTAGGGTTCCATAGATGCATGTCTACATTCTTGTCTTTGTTTATTTCCCTGAAAAGGAACCGATTGGTTGAAATAGTTGGGCCATATTTGTTGTGCAATTTCATTTGCATTGGTTAAAATGTATGGAAGTGCAAATGAGTTAGGTAGCAATTTTGGGTTTAATTTTGTTATATGTTTTACTTTATTCTGTTTGTTTGCAGTGCATATGAAATAAAAGGAAAACTAAATCAGAATAATTTAAAAGCCGAGGCTAAAAACAAAGCAAATTCGCAAACTTCTCGTTTACACTCCTATCCATTCGTACTAGTACAAATGAAATTGCATTCTGGAAATAACTCCTTTAGCCAGCAAAAAATGGCGTCAAATTTAGAAATTGTGGTCTACAATTTTACACAACTTTCTGTAAAATTGCATTTCTCTTTTTTCTCTTTCTTTGGTTCAGAACTGAAATTTACATTCAGAGCTCTCATCTCTTGCCTTTTGAGTTTTTCTTTCCTTTCTTTCCTTCCTCTTTGTTCTGTTCTTGACCGTTCTCCCATCACTCCTGACGGTTATGTTGATGGGTCATCTCTCTTTTGTAAGCTTTAAAGAGATCAAGGCCGAGAAAGACATTCAGTAAATTCATTCCTGCCATCCCAAAGAGGGCTAGTGGGAGCTCCACGCCATTGCCAAATTTGGATGCATCCTTGATGAGCTTGATTGTGATCATAATGTGGGAGCCAAGCCTTGCTAGAAAGAAGGTGATCCAATTCAGCACCCACTCTACTCTCACATATTTGCTCTTTGCATCACGCATTCCAGCCATCCGTCTCACTTTCCTCATATGCAGTAAAATAGAATGAAGCTGCAAATAAGTCCAGACCACAGTTGATGCAAAGCATATTTTAATGGAAGCATAAGTATGAAGTAAGAAAACTCGTACACATTCATTAGTTTGCAAGCAAACTATTTGAAAAAAAAAAACATGTAGAAGCAAGAAAATGCACAAATGGGGGGGGGGGGGTAAGAGAGGAGGAAACATTAGGAGAAATACCTCACAAATAAGGGTGAGAATGAGGTAGTTTACTGTGACCTTACGATACAATGCAAGCGTAAAACAAATCAGGAGTATCAGATGATGTACAAGGATCGAAGGGATCCAGCCACTGTACAGGCAGTAGTGGAGCATATCCCACTGGTCATATGCAAAGTAGCCACATGAGAAGCACAAAGCTGGGTATGCCATAGGCCAAGTGCTTCCAAACAGCTGTGAATGCTCAAACATCTCATCTGGACCCTTTACTATCCACTGGTTAACCAGAATGAGAACCACTGCACATGATATAAAAGTTAATTCAACTTGATATGCTTCCAAACAACTGAGAATGCTCAAACATCTCATCTGGACTCTTTTCCATCCAGTGGATAAGATTCTTCTATAAAACCTCATACAATCAACATAAAGAATCAGTACATCACCAAAAGTACATTTATTTAGTTCCCATCAACATGTCTATTCAAATCTTTGCATATGTGCAAATTCTTGCCAATGCTATAGAATCAATAACTATATGAATGGATTGGAAGAGATGTGAAAAGAGGACACAAAGAGATATGGCCCAAGAATGATAAAAAAAAGAGATATAGCCCAAGGTGAAAATGGAAGCAAAACCTCAGAACAGAAAACTGAACAAAGGGTGAAAAGAGAATACAGTACTCCAATGGGACTGACATCCCGATATATGATGGTACTCAGTTAACCGTTGTTTTATCTAGATTGAGACAATGGCCTATTACAGTGCCAAAGAAAACCATAAAAAAATATCACTCTCCAGATCAAGTCTCTTCTTGTATCCAAAGGAATGGGATGACCTCTATTACTTTGCTAAAAGTGGTCCTCATATCCACCTGTGTATTTATGTTATTTGCACCAAACCAAGTCTTTCCTGTATTTGCAATATTTGCACCTAAACCAACAGAATGCAGCTTTTAATTGTAGTTTAACTTTGCAGTTAGAAACTCTCTAGCCTCATTAACCAAAGCTATGTTACCTGTAAATAAAATATTGGAGGACTTTCATCTAGGGAGCCGATCTAAAAATATGCAGTCTTAATACTGAGATTTGCTGTAAACCCATTTAGCTAAAAAAAGTAAAAAGATATCACAAACCCATTTCTGTTTCAACCGAGGAAATTAATTTCAGTTTAACCATCCTCATACCATTTTCCTGTTTCATGCTAAAACCCATACTGGAGCAATCGAAAGCCAAATTGGAAAAAGTACCATATAATCCAAACAATAACTCAGACTTCACAAAGGAATTACACAGTTTTGTCAATGACAGTGCAGGATAAGCTTCACTCGCCAAACCTACTTACAATTTTACACTATTGGAGCTCAACCATCAAAAACCAAACAATAAAGACCCAAAAGAACACCGTCATTAAACATCCATAAACCAGAAAATCCATCAACCGATTCAAACAGGAACTCATGAAGTCATCAAAATAGTAAAGTAGAAATCCAAATCTCAAAACCGAGAAAACCATAGACCCAGAAACCAATTCACATCCATAAAACACCAGTAGAGCTGCAGAAGAAACAAGAAAGAATACTAATTCAAACAAAAGTAATCCCTAATTCGAACTATAATTCACTAAAAGTCTAAAAGAAACAACATTGAGCACCTGAAATAGAAGCAATAGTTGAATGAAGCAAAGAAACGCTGGTGTTGACGGAGAGAGGGTCACGAGAGACAGAGAGACGGATGACCCAGTTGGCCGCTTGATAGAAGCAACAACCAGCAACGATGGATATGAGCTCTGACCTCTTGTTAAAGACTATCTCAAAGACAACAGACACGAACCAGAGAACCAGAGTCGCCACAAAGAAAGCTCCGGTGTCGTTTCTATGGCTTCCCCTCGCCATGTCTCTCTCTGCCTTGCTTCTCTGGTTCCCTGCTCGCCACCTCATCAGAGTATCGAACTTCAAAAAAGTTTTGAGTGGCTGTCTGCCTGTCTGGTTCTTCCGTGTTCCGTATGCAGAGAAAGGATAATGTCTCTCGTATGCGTGGCGATGGACGGTCTGTGATCGTCGTGGTCACACGTGGTAAGAGATGCCGCGGACTTTCGGTATTTCAAATTCCTATTGCAACTTTGGGCCCCACGGTTGCAGCTTTCAATTTTAAAGAGCCGAGCCCACGAAATGACAGAAGGACCAGCCCCGCCCGTGTATTGGCAATTTGGCACAATTCTGAATTATCACCTACTTGTACGGTGGAATTAAGATTTGTGAGAGTGAATTGAACAGTAAAAATGTTAGGTGTATCAAAACATAATTTAAAAAAACGTTTTAAAACTATATAGATATAAAAAAAATTTAAGATATGTATAAATATGCTATAAAAAAAACTTAAAAATATGAACAATAATAAAAATGAGTTTTATTTGATTATAATTAATTTATTTAAACATAAAAACCATTATTTAATGATTTATATAAAGTATTATGACATAATTAGTAATTGTTGAAAAATAATAAAAGAATTAAAATGTATGTGTAATTTTTGAAGCTATTTATTATATATAGATTTAGATAATATTTATTATATACAAGTTAATATATACCTTAATTTTTAATAAATAAATATAACTTGTATTCATTTTATTATTATATAATTTTTAATAATAAAATTTTGACATTTGTTGAAAAACATCCACCAAGGCAAGAAAGATTACATTAAGCATAAAAACAATATGTTAATATGATAAGTAATTAAGGTTGGCATAGCGGTTAACTAATTATTGTTGTAACCAAATGACTATGGTTCAAAACTTGATACATAATATGTATCATCCCATTTCGGGATTGTATCGGCCGATACATATCCGAAATGGTCTGATATCGGGTGAAAAATTATGAAATTATCTAATTGTATATGTTTTGTGATATCGGGTGAAAAATTATGAAATTATCTAATTGTATATGTTTTGTGTATCGTAATTCTTCCAAAATAATACGTATCAGTCAATACATTGCAAAATTTTAAACCTTGCTTACATGCATATCTCACCATGTATTGGGAAAATCTTCTGTACATATGTTTTATTATTGATGGGAGATGTTCTCAATACAAGGGATGTGCCTATGAGGTTGGTGAGATGTGCCTATGAGATTGGTGTGAGGAGAAGATCTCAATTCCTATGATGCCATTGCTTTGTCGTCCTGAGCTTCAAGCCTTAGCGGGGCATGCTTGGGCAACTTGGTCCCCTTCCTAGGTCAGGCCCTACTTGGCCTGTGGCCTAGTTCCCATCCGTGTCGGGCCTGAGGAATTGGGTCATGGTGGACTGGGCCTAGGCCGCCTCGCTTGTGCCTAATTTTCTCTTTTCCAATTTTTTCTAAATTAAGAATAATTAGAAAAAATAAAAAAGAAACATATAATTGCAGAAAATTAAAATGAATAATAGAATACGTTAGAAAATTGTGAAAATTTTGTTTTATTTAAAATTTAATGTGTAAAAAATATACAAATGGCATTGAAAGACTAATACAATGAAGTTGAATTAATAAAATAATAAAATTGAAGATAAAAAGTACAATAGGATTGGATTATTGGAAAATATTACAAATAATTCTAAAATCTGGGCGGTTTGACCAGGTTGTGCTTTGGGGGCCTGTGCCATGCATTGGCACTACACAGTACTGTGGCGATCATGTCGTGCAGGGCATGAACCTTGTCATTCTGGGCCATGCTAGCATATAGAGGAAAGAAGGGAGGTGAGGTCATCTCATCACAGTGTTCACACGTGTGCACATTTATTTTTATATTAAATCATTAAAAATCTCATGGATATTTATTGTTTTTAATAAAATCCATATTTACTCTAATAAATTTCTCTTTCTCTCTCTCCTTAATAGTTAATGTTTGTAATATTTTTCCTCTCCACTAAATCCTTATTTTCCTCTTAAATATCCTTTATTTCCTTTCGCTCTCTCTAATAAATGTAAATTAGATGAATCGGGTTAGATTAAGGACCAACCTAAATATGAACTTTAACTTGGATCCAAACCCAAATTTGCTCACCAGTATATAGGGTGAACCAATCTAAATTAGATGGTATTCCATATTTTGGTGGTAAAAAATTAAAAATGTTGAGATTTGAAATGTACCGGTTCTCAAGTGAAGTGTATATTGAATCATAGGAAGAGTGATGGGTTATAGAACATGAGAAATAACCACTTTTAAAAATCCATAACATGCCTAAGCTCTAAAAGAAGAGTGTTCAGTAGGGTGCATTGCCGAAGCAATTGGAACACGAATTCACTACACAGTGGTAGCGAACTATGGTGGTGCAAATGATTTGGGTGCACATTTTGATTTATTTTTGTTTCAAATTTTATCTTATTTTGTTCGATTACAATACAGATGAAGTAAAATAGGACTACAATACAAATGAAGTAAAATAGGATCTGAAACAGACCTAAAACAAAATTAAATCAGAATTTGCATTCTTTTTATTTGCACTCCACTATTGTATCTATTAAAAGACACAATGATAAGCCATTCAATTCATCAAATTCAGCAGTTATGAGAAAACCTTTAAGAGGAAATTCCAGATTATGGTGTCCAATATATCTCTGCACTAAATTGCTAGTATTGCAAGGAAGATATTCTGCTTAACAAATGTATCTCTTTTGAAGTGGCAATTATGCAACAGATTTCCATTGAAATAAAACCATCAAGCAAAAATAGAATCGATTTTTTCAACTTTTTTAAAGGGTGGATGTAGGGGTGTCAGTTGGACGGGACTTGGTTCAATCAATATTTTGGACCATTTTGGCCTAGTCCAATTTGTTCAAATCGGCTTTAATTTAAATTGGTTCCAACACAAACTTGATTCATTGAAACCTGTATTTTTATCTTCTATCAATGGATTGGATATTAGTTCGATTTGACCCAATCCAATATGATTCCATTACAAATGGATCAGGTTTAATCCAATCTAACAAATACTTTGGACTACTAAGAGGGGCAGGGGATTAGCACGAGTTTTTTTTTTTTTTTTCCCTTTTTTTAAGGCTCACTTTAGGAGTATAAATACAAATATGTACCCTACAAATGCATACAAAATACATGGTTTTACACTCTACATATTTGTATTTGTACTCCTTCCAAACTGAGCCTATAAAGAACAAGAAGGATTCTAAAGGATTTTGATAAACTTTCGTTGAGTTTCTAAAGAAATCCTCTAAGGCTATTTTATCAAGCTAGTTTTACCATAATCCCTCCAGCTTTCTCAAAAAGAACATATTCCAACAAAAAAAAATCACCTAAACCTAGAAAGTAAAGCAAGAATATCAGGCGATACTTTGGAGTTCAGATCCTCTCTTCAGAGAGCGCTCCTCAAACCAATCTCACAACACATCCCAGTTGCACATTGAAAATATCTCCCATACTTTGTATTGTTATTCATGGGGAGATGTTTCCAATTCACAATAGGATGGGACTGTGAAATCAGTGAGTGCGCTCTGTAAGGAGCAAATACCGATTCCATACTTAGCATGGTAACAAAGGTCCTTTTAACAAAGACTTTTTGATTCCTTTGTTTTTTAGTAGTTAAAGTGATTACATAATACAATATCACAAGGGTATAATGGTTAGACGAATTTCACCTTCAGAGATAAAGAAGTTTACAACCTCATTAAGAACTTGATCAATAAAAGACAAAACAATAAATCATATAAGTTCACTCACTTTAACTATTATATCAAATCCAACAGCCTAATTTGATTGCTCATGAGGAAATTTCCATCCAAAGTAGACAGTTTCAATTCAATTTTTGTTAATACCAATGCAATTAATGCATCTTAGAGACAAACTGTAATATATTTTAGGATAAATTTCTTAAACTACCTTTATGACTTGGTTAATTGATCAACTCTATTCTTACTATTTATATATTGTCTTCAAATATCTTTATTGTTTTTGACAATTGTCTAAAACCTCACCTACGTTAACTCTTCATCATAAATCTCATAAATCGTTCATATACAACATCACATGACTGATATATTATTCAAAAATCCCTAAAATACCCTTTTGTCAAAAATAAATATGCAAGATAGGATTTGAGATTTGGAGTCATGGCTTTAAGAACTCATTCTTGGTATCTCGGAGGTCATGGCTGCCGAAATTTGCACGTCAACCATACTCTTCTTATTGGGAGTCATGGGGCGCTTGTACAGAGAGGTAGCATGGTCAGAAGTTATGACGGAATGCACATTTTCCATCCAAAACCAAAGTGCCACCTTGAAAGATACCACCATGTCAATCGCCATCGTCTTTGGAGAACCCAAACCATCAGAATCTGATGCCTCTTTCAGCCTCTCCATAGAATCCCGTTCTTCAATCTTCGGCAATTAGGGATACGCTGGTGTGAACTGAGAGTTGGAGTAGTTCACAAGTGGACATCAATCTTCAGTAGTTTTTCGGTAGTTAGAGTAGTTCTTCAATCTTCAGTCTTCAGCAATTGGGGATCCAGTAAACCGGAATTTGTTTCATTCAAGTGGACATCAAAGAATCTGAAAATATGCAATGTGAACTTAGAGCAGTTCGTTTTCCTTCTGCCACTTCTTATTGATTGAAAGAAAACGCATGTTCTGCACCAAAGGTAAAGAGATAAAACAACTTAATCGATATTTGGGATCTGGTGCCGCCTTCCATGAAAGATGATCCTGACCTACAGTGTGTTTTCCCCAAACAGTTCAAAGGCAATTTGGGTTTGTTGGGTTCGTTTTTAAAGGAGCATTCATGTTTTATTGTTGGGGAAATACATTACAGTAGCAGAAATGAGTGTAGAAACAATTTCATGACAGCAAGAACCTTTCCCCTAAGTTTGTGTGTCGGAATGGTTTGTCAACAACAATGATAACAAGTAAACAATTCAGTCAAGTAACAGAAAAACAAATAGCAGTCACCACACAATAGCACACCAGAATTTTTACGTGAAAAACCCCAAAATTTGGGAGAAACCATAGAACCTATGGTCTATAAAAGTCTTCCACTAATTCAGAAATTAATAGGTACAACAGTCATCTCTAATTGCAATTAAAGGTTTACAAACATCAATGAAATAATCATTGACTCACAAGTACAGTATTAACATCATCGAATCGAATGTAAGGTGGATATAACAAATATAAAGGTTTAGATCTCACCAAATTGCTATAAATAATAAGGATAGAGTTAGTCAATTAAATAAACCATAAGAATAATTTAAAAAATTTTCCCTATCATTTCATTCTGATCTTTCTCTTATAAAAGACTAAAACAAATCTTTAGTTCAAGTATTCAACCATGCTCTAATTAATTTAAACATTTCAAGGTGAACATAATTGGAACAAGGCTTAGATGATGATGATGCCACCAGACTAACTTAGGGTGCCTTCATCATAACTATAAGGGTATCATCTACCTTTAATCGCGCACCATGTGTCCCACTGGCTCGAAAAAAGAAGTCCCATATATAATCTTCAGCCATCATTAAACAGGTCTCACCTAAAAGATGACTGCATAATCAGAAAGATTATATATATTCACCATCCCATTTGTGAATTCTAATGTAGTAGCTTATTATTCATTATTCAATAAAATCTAACATCCCAAATAAATCTTTATGTTGAGTCTTTTGGTTCAGTTTGAAAAGAGTATAAATACAAATATATATACAAAATAGTTTAAAATACAAGGTTTTGCACCGTACATGTTTGTACGGAGCCTATATGACATGCAGAAGCCAGAAGACATCTCGTTACCGTTAAAAAGAGGTAGAAGACTTAAACATACCTAGAGCATTTTCAAATAAAAACATACCATCTCATGAACCTCTCTTAGTGTTTTAAAAAATCTGTTTTGCTCTTCGAAAAGAATCCCACTTCTAAAACAAAATGCATGCCTCGTTTTCTTGCTCCTTTTCTACAACTGCAACAAAACTTGATTGTTCAAGGATCTTGCCCTGCTTTAAAACAGGGAGCTCTGCTTTAAATAGAACTTGATTGCTCAGGGTTGCTTTTTTTGAAATTGTATATGGGGAATGGTAACGTGATACATAGTTCCGTTTGTTTATCGTTCGATTGGAATCTGATACTTATTTTAACCATGAAACGATCATACTGGTATATTCTTTGACATGCCAGCATTCTATCATTTCCCTTTTCTTGGGTGGTTATTGATGAGGGCGGATTTGGCCCTCCAATGATATTGTGACACATGGCACCTCGAAACAACTAGGTGACACCCGGAATTACTTTGGCAACAACTCGTCTTAGCCAAGTTGATGGTGTCCCACCTGGCGGCTTGGCCCAGGTGCGACTTGGCGGCCTGGCACAGGCGCCAACCTGGTGACCTGCGAGACGTGTTCGTCGACAAATTTGGCATGCATATCCAAACACTCCCACGATCCTTTGAAGTTGGCCCACGTGCCGAACGATCCGAAGGGTGGTCAACATGCATGGCGGTTACCTTAGGGAATCTCGAACCACTTAGGCGACCTCTCGTAAATCTCGGATATGGTGCGTGAAGCCCACGTCAAACAATGCCTATATAAAGGCACCAACCACAATGATATGAGGGGGGCAAGTAAACATGTTCTACCTCTCATACTTTGTGATTTTTAACTAAAAATCAGTATTCTTATAGTAGACTACGAACTAAAAATCACAAATTTAAAGAATGATGAGGGATAAAAAAACGTATTTTACAGCCACAAGGTATATTTAAGTCTATTTAAGAAACTCAAGATACATTTAAGTCAATTTATGAAATCTTGGGGTGTGTTTTAAGTGTTTTACCCATTTTATTGGCTCATTCCATCCCAACACTTGACTGATGGACACCCACCCAACATTCCCAACATTGTAGTATTGATATTTGACATATGCCTTGAAGATAACATGATGAGGGGCCCTAAATTCAATGAGAAAACTTTTGGGTGTACACATTTGACAGCCTGTGCTGCTCGAAATCTCTGTTCACATGTTAGCTCATACAGCCATGCCTTCAGCATGAAGTTCACATGAACTAATTTGTTGTTAGTTAGACTGAGAAATGTAGACAGCCAAAGTCCCTCTCTGTTGCAACATTCCTTTAGAAGAAAAATTGTAAATAATTGAAACAGTGAAAAAAAATCTTCTGAAAGATGAACTATTCTCCTTCCAATCAGTTTCTTCACTCAGAATATCTGCCAGAGAAAACATATATAATATGAGCCAAACAGAAACAAAGACATCTGTACTGTTAGCAGATGTAATTAATCATTTCTGTCTTGTTTCTACCTTTTAACAGATCCGGCCTCCAAAGATAAGAAGTGTCTTTGTGTTATAAGAGCCCGCAGGCAAAAACCAACTACAAACCCACGAAAAACAGAAAGAAACTACAAGGAAACCGAAACTAAAACAAACTAAAAAAAAAGCAACAGTCTTAAGCGATAGAACATATCAGAGAAGATAACCAATCGGGCAGAGCACCCTCAAACCACAGAACAGAATCAAAACCCAGTTTTGCAAGCTCATGAGCTGCACCATCGGCAGAAAGGCGGCACCACAAGAACTTGATCTCCAAGCCTTCACACAGGCTAACAAGATCCTCCTTCAGAAAAACCAGATCCGAAGGACTGAAATTAGCTGAACTGTTGAGGTGAGAAATCAAGTTTTGACAGTCTGATTCGACAAAAACCCGTGATAAACCAGATCTTCTCACGACTTTGACTGCTGCTACCAGAGCCTCTGCCATCAAAGGAGATTCAGCCAGGAGAGGACCACAAGAAGCCCAATGGCAAAAACCTGTTGAATCTCGAGCTATAATACCATAAGAAGCTTTATTAAGGGCTCTGAAACGTCCATCCACGTTAATCTTCACAAAGGCTTCTTGGGGAGGGGTCCAACAAAAAGATGGAGGGTCAAAAGAGCCTTTAGCTGAATAGTTTCCCGATTTCAGCTGCAAGAGCAGAGATGTCTCTGCTGCCGACCTGTTAATGACATTAATCATCTCCAAAGGATTAGGATTAGAAGAGTTATTTTCAAAGCAGTAACTATTCCTATTTGATGGTTTTAAATGTTACTAATCCTCTCTGCAAAGTATAAGAAAAAAGGAGTATTGAAGTGATTAGACAGTCGATATTTAAAATTTGGATATTAAGCAAAACAATACCTTGAAGTTTGAATCATGTTAACACTAAATACTAATGATTTTTAATTAAAAACTTGGGATCCATTTGGTTTGCAGACCAAATTAGAATAGGAACCAGAATTGGGATTCTCTGGTATTGGATATGGAGTGTTTTATTTCCTTTGCCTGTTTGGTTTAGGCTGGAATGTCAGTCAAGTCAAAATTGGCTGGAATGGGCTTTCATTCTCAAGGGAGAGGGACGAAATGCCATCCTTCAAATAAAAAAAAAAAGGAATCGGGTTCCAATTCCACCCAATCAAACGGTTGGAATCAGATTCCATTCCAATTTTAGACCCTTGTTCCCATGAACCAAACACACCCTTTTTTTAAAAGGAATAGCTGGAATTTAACCTGTCTCTTCCCCTACCTTCATTGTTGCAACAACATCCTTACATGATCAGATTCATCCTTCTGGGCTTGTCTGCTTGTAACAGACCTCCAATTTTGTGGACACAAATCCTTGCAATAATTGAACCTCTTTTAGAGCAGTGCTTGGGTACCACCAGATTTGAAGTCGGAGCAAGAATAAAATTACTCTAATTTTGACTACTGAATGAAGCGTAGAAGAGTGGCTTGATATTTTTTTCGCTTGGGAGGTGAAGGATGATTTGGGCACATCTCAGTTTCTTTTGATAATCAGGCACATCTGCAGCGAAAAGACAACAGCTACCCCTGTTTAATATTAACAAATGATAGCGATGCAGGGTATTTTTGTCTTTTAAGGGGTACCCGGTTTATCAAAAATGGGATATGCCCGTATCATGATTCATGAGAGACAAGAAACAGATAAGAAAAGATTGGGAAAGAAGGTAAAGATGTGATCCAAATCCGAGGTGGCAAGATATTCAGACCCACCGAGAGAAGATACTAACCAGAGACCAAACTCTCATTGTCACAGAGCGTGTGGGTGTGGGAGGCGCCACGAGTGCACCAGAGGAGTCCACGTTTGTACACATGTCAGTCCATGGGCGGATTACTGAGATCGCGCGCGACGCCGGCCTCTTATCAACAATTCTCCCAAATAAAATTCCCCCACTTTCTCTCTCCTCTTTCTCTGCTGCTGGTGCTGCGAGTAAGCTTCAACGCCATGTCCACTGTCGCCACAGCTGCTGCTCTCTCTCTTCCCATCTCTCTGTGCCGGCCCTCCAAGATCAACACCAAGAAGGTACAGATTTTCTTCCTTTTCTTGTGTAGTTTGTCTTCATTTTTTTTCCTGCTGAATTCATTGTGAGATTCGGTTGGTTAATGGGAATGGCTTAGATGGATTGCTGTCGGGATTTGCAGGGTGGTAGGGGGGGATTGCGGGTGGTTGCTATATTTGAAGGGGAGGAAGGGTTGGTGGAGAAGAAAAATGCTTGGAGTACACTCTTTGAAGTCGAGCATCCGAGGCCTAGAGTTCCTCAGTGTAAAGGGAGATTCTTGGATGCTAATCAGGCTCTAGAGGTGGCTAGGTTTGACATTCAGTACTGTGACTGGAGGGCTCGGCAAGATGTTCTTACCATCATGCACCTTCATGACAAGGTATCTACTTTCTTGTTCAAAATGTTTTTGTTATTTGTTATTTTTTTCGAGTTTGAAGGTGGGGGTTTGCGGGTTTTTTTTTTCTTATACCGTAATGGGTCTTCTTGTTTTTTTTATTTTTATTTTTTTTTATTTTGATTTGATTAACTACCGATTTTTCAGTTTAAAGTTGAAAACAGATGGGTTCTTTATGATTTGTTTGACGGGTATTTCTGTTCATGAAGAGAGATTAATCCTGTTTTCAGTGATCTGGGTGTAGGTGGTGGAAGTTCTCAATCCTTTGGCTCGGGATTATAAGTCCATTGGTACCATGAAGAAAGAGCTTGCCGAGTTGCAGGAACAATTAGCACAAGCTCACAAACAGGTCTGATAATTTTCAGTTAACGTAATGCAACTTGTTTTCGCACAAGGTTAAGTTGTAATGTGAAAACTAATTAGTAAAAATATCAGTCACTGATTAAACCCATTTGATTCGGACTTTCCTTCTAACTAGTTGCATTATATAGATCTCCAATTCATGGATATTTCATGAATTGATCATTGCTCAAAATCAAGACAGGTTTACAAACAGGACTGATGACAATTAATAGGTTGAACTTATCTATCTTATACAATGTCTTCTGCAAAATTAAATCAGCACTAATAAATGGATTAACTATTTCAAGGTACCAACTGGCTAGTTGGTAAAGTCTCTGGCTGGTTGTAGTGGGGGAACTTGGGACGAATCCTGCCTGCACCAGGGTTGGGGGGTTATGGGTTTACCCCCTTTGTGTAGTCCTGTGGAGCAAAATATAAATAAATAAATGGATTAACTATTTAATTTAATAGGCCAATGCTCGGTTTATGATTATACAAACAAGATTTTCTACAAAGGATCAATCAGCAGATATACATGCACTATTAATAATTATCCACTTGATATGGAGTTTCCAGTTAATGAGTCATAGACTTAATAATAATAAGTTCCACAACTCGTTGATAAACCAGGATAAACCATGATCTAAATATTTCAAAGATTTAGTCTTAGGGACTGACTTGGATTACTAAAACCAATGAACTATTTAGTTCATGTGCTACCTCATGAATGGACTGCATATAACTCAAATATTCTCTAACCACTTCTTGATCCTAATATTCAAGACTTTCTATTTTTGAGAAAGGCACATTGGGGGAAGGGGGATGTTAAATATGTTATCATGTGCGAATACTGAGATCATTTTGAATCTTTACTGACTTCAATGACGAATTGACTGCTATACTTGGCATGAATTTCATTGGGACTGTGGATTGTCAATTTCTGTAGAAGCTCAATGGAAAATGGCCCGACTAAGCAGAAGCTACATCCTGTTTTTTCTGTTGTGTCAGTGTAGACTCAACTGGACCATAATTGATCATAATCACCCCCCTCGCCAACAGGTGACTGGTGGAAATTGGTGCATGTTTTGTGCCTTTTCTTTACCCTAAATCTGTCACACTTCATTTAGATTTCCAGGTAGTTCCAGTGAGTATGAATGAAAAAAAAAAATGTATAAGATTTTGCATTTGGGTCATCCCGAGTCCTGTTATCGTATGTATGCCTGATTCTGAACAATTTTTCTTTTGGCATATTAATTCTAGGTTCACATATCTGAAGCAAGGGTTTCCACTGCGCTGGATAAATTAGCTTATATGGAAGCATTGGTAAATGATAGAATAATACAAGAAAGGAACACAACAGAATCTGAAAGAAGCTCCTCTTCTCCTAGCACTTCTTCTTCAGCATCTCCTGATAGAGTAAAAAACAGGATGCCGCCCAAAAGCCTTAATGTGTCAGGCCCTGTCCAGCCTTACCATCCCTTTTTAAAGAATTTCTGGTATCCAGTGGCTTTCTCCAATGATCTGAAGGATGATACCATGGTATGCTAGTTGTGCTATAACATGAATTTAAACTCCCCTCTGATATTCAAAAATCAGATTTACAACTTGGAATTATATTATTGCCTTCCTCTTACTTCTGACTCTGGCTGTCTGGTTGACCATCCTGTTTCAGGTTCCTATAGATTGCTTTGAGGAGCCATGGGTTATGTTTCGTGGCAAAGATGGAAAGCCTGGTTGTGTTCAGAATACATGTGCTCATAGAGCATGCCCACTTCATCTTGGTTCAGTTAATGAGGGTCGAATCCAATGCCCTTACCATGGTTAGTGAGCTAGATGAAAAAAATAAAATATTGAATCTTTAAGTATATGCACTGTTACTGATCAAAAAAATATTTATAAAGTATATGAAAATGTGTGCCTCTATGCTTTTTTAGCTTTAAATGGGAAAAAAAATTCAGATCTCTTTAATCTTAAGAACTTGGGATGAATGCACTTCAGGTTGGGAATACACGACTGATGGAAAATGTGTAAAAATGCCATCAACCCGACTACTAAATGTGAAGCTGAGATCATTACCATGCCTTGAGCATGAGGGGTTTATCTGGATTTGGCCTGGCAATGATCCTCCGGCAGAAACGCTTCCTTCTCTCACACCTCCTCCAGGATTTGTTATCCATGCAGAGGTAATTACAATGTCTTAAATGCATTCTGTAATCATTCTGTATGCTGCCACACCCATACATCCTATATACCTTTCTCATATCTGTTATCTCATAATAGCAGCTCACGTTATGCTCTTTTCTGTGTCCTTGTCACTGGTAGATTGTCATGGAGTTGCCAGTGGAACACGGGCTACTTCTGGATAACCTTCTGGATCTTGCTCATGCTCCTTTCACACACACATCCACGTTTGCCAAGGGGTGGAGTGTACCCAGGTTTGTCCCCATTTATCTCAATCTTCAAGGTGATTGGAAAAACCACAGAATCAGAGAATTAGATTCCTACCACCCATTAGTTTACTTGGATCTTGAACCAGGGTATATGGATGATGTGAATACTTTATAACATGTATAATGGAATTATCAGATTAAGTAAATCTTTGATCAATGGTTTTGGACCGAAGGGGCTCACAATTAAACCAATGAACCATTCTCACAATAGAACAAAAAATTGGACTTTTTTATCACAACTTGATTTTTAACATTGCTTATTTTTTGACTTCTCAGCTTGGTTAAATTCTTGACACCTGCATCTGGCCTTCAAGGATATTGGGATCCTTATCCAATAGACATGGAATTCCGGCCACCTTGCATGGTTCTCTCCACAATTGGGATTTCAAAGCCTGGACAACTGGAGGGGCAGAATACCCAGCAGTGTGCCACTCACCTTCACCAGCTTCATGTTTGCTTGCCTTCATCTAGACAGAAGACGAGATTATTATACAGAATGTCACTTGACTTTGCTCCTCTGCTAAAGCATATACCCTTCATGAACCTTCTGTGGAGATACTTTGCAGAGAAGGTGAGGATCTTACTCCATAAATCAGTAGAACAGAGGAACAAAGTTCCTAAATTTTACTACCCTTCATAACCTTCTCAGAGAGATTTTACTTCAGTATTGGAGTTTATTCGGTGATATTTACTACTGATTCATTAATTTTTCATGTTACTTAATTCTTATTTTTCCCCTAAATTTTGATGAATTGTTGAATAACATAGGTTTTGAATGAGGACCTACGGCTGGTAATTGGTCAACAAGACCGTATGATCAATGGAGCAAATGTCTGGAACTGGCCCGTTGCATATGATAAGTTAGGAGTAAGATACAGGTTATGGAGAAATGCAGTGGAAAGCGGAAGTAAGAAGCTGCCCTTCAGCCATTCCAAGTAGAATTGATTGACAAACAGGTTTAATTTTATATGATCCCACAGAAGAAAACCATCAGAACCAACTAGATGTTGCAAAAGCAGAGTATTCATTCCTCCCTCTTTGTTTTATCAAGTTTCGTCATCCTCTCTAATTTTCCCAGAAGAATCCCAGTGACCGACCGGAAACTGTTGATGAATCAGAGGCATGGAAGAGATGATTTCTTCACCAGTCCAATGTAAAATAGTGAAACTGTACTCTTATCTGTATTGTTTTTGTGTACAGTTGATACCCATTTTTCCCTTTCATTTACCCTTTGCCCAACTCAATAAACTAAAGAATTCATTGTATGATTACTGCAGAAATTATTTCCACCAATTGAAATTAGTTTCGATCTCTCACTCTGACTTCAAGATGTTGTATGATATTAGTATTCCATTCCTATTTCTGTAAGAACAGTACCAACTCACCTTGTAATTTAACCTGGATGGAAGCATGGCATGAGTCGTAGACAAAAAAGTTGATAAAATCTGTTGGTTGAGAACAAAGAGTTTACAATCTTATGTACTTAGAACTTTCCCTACTTTTAAAGGAAAGCAAGCTCAAGGAAAACCACCAAGCAATTTGCTTTTTGAAGCCCCATGTATCATTCAACTAATTTGATTTATATATTTTCTATATAAAAAATCACATAAACGCATGAATGCATGTTTTCCATTTGCTGCTCACGTTTTCCATTGAGTTTACCTGAACCCACTATTTGGAAAGAATGATGCTTCCAAATATGCATTGCTATGCAAGTCACTGACTCTTCTATTTATTTTTGTTAGAATCACCGCAAGTGACTAATTGATCCAACTAAAACTTACTTACAAATTACAATGAATTGGGTGAAGCTAAATAGCTAATTAGACCATCAAATTATTTCTATCTACTCTGAAACACTGAAAGCCGTATGTTCCTTTTCCTTAGTACTCGCACAAACACGAAAACAGGCAAATGAAAGAAAAAGAAACCTCTCTCTCTCTCTCTCTCTCCAGAAGGTATATTCCAATCAATGAATACAAAATATACAAAAAAAGTTCAGCATGAATTTAACTAAAAAGAATCTCATACTTTTATTCCTTTTTCTTTTAATTTAGAATATCTAAAATAGTTGTACCGGTTGGATGGAAATACGATTTTAAGCCCAAGAATGACTTCGTTTTAGAGGCTTCTACAGTTGGGGCTCAGATTGAACTTCCTACTCGTGCGAAGAAATGAGTTACAGATTATAATAACCATTTGTATGGTTGTATCAAATGTTAGTTTTATTATGGCGTGCAAACCACAATGCCAAAGGATAAGAGCTCTTTCTTACACATCCGGGATATTTGGTCCCTGATTCTATCAGTTCATTGGGTTTCAGTCACAAATTCACAGTGAGTTCTATTGAGTGCAAGATGCATTTATAAGCGCAAGCAGTAGAAGCTAAAAACGAATTTGCACCCCTGGCATTCTCAGCCACAGACAAAACATATCTACCAAAGGAGAAACTGTAAAAGGAAAAAATCCCGAAACAAGAAAAAGAGAGCCACCAAAACCAAAAGGCCAACATGAGGCTATCCAGTACCCACAACTACAAGCCACAAGAATGTTTATAGCAGAGCTCAATTCCAACTTCCAACTCTCTACCTGCCAAGTATGTTTATCATTGATTTACTTCACACTACCTGGGTCTCTTGTTCTTTTTGGGGTAATTGAAAATTTTCAGTCTAAAAAAACACAATACAAAACGATTCTTCTGTATCGTGTTTCTGAAACCAAATTTTCTAGCTCTAAATAAAGAATTTAATTAATTCTTTTTGAGTCCAGAAAAAGAGTTAGTTGGAACAAGTCGCATTCATCTAAACTTAAAAATGAGTATTAGAATCACAAATTTCATCAGAATTAAGTCTCTGAAAGCATGCCAAACTCAGAATTAATTCTCTTATTATTTACTCGTCAATGCACAAAAGCCTTTACTTTACATGTTTATAAGAAACCAAAAACCCTAACCCTAAAAGCCATCCCTCCCAACCAAAAAAATAGCAACATCCCACATTTCCTTCACATAACATGACATACAAAAGAGCCGGATCAGAACTCAGAGCAAGTTAGAAAAGTAGAATCTTTTTTATTGTATCGAAAACAAACCCCATGAGACAGAGAGGTTACAGAGCTGAACCGCAGAAGGGGCAGAAGCTGAACTCGGGTTCAACGACGCGAGCGCAGGAGTGGCAGCGAAGAACATCAGGGAGCGATGGGGGAGAATCCGAGCGGGGAGGCGGAGGGAGAGAGAAGGATTGAGGGAACATGAGCGAACAGTCGTTGCAGTACATTGCTGGCTCTTTACCAGGCCACCGCCACACGGGAACGAAGAACATCTTGAGGACCTTCTCATATTCTACTAAATCCGCTACCGAACCGCAGTTGATACAGCGCCCCGCTCCGGCCTTGAGCACCTTGCTCACTTGTTGCTCTACGCCTCCGACGAAGAAGAAAAACATCTCCTCTATTTTCTGTTCTCCTTCTGAAAACTGATCGATCGCTTCTCTCTTATGCTACTAGTTTACCTCTTCTTTGGTCTTTGATTTATTTCTTCTCGATTAGAAAATTGGAATGAATCGATTACTTGGAGTTTCTCGAGTTTTCTGATTCTCTGCACCGCATCTCAGACATCGGGGCATTGCTTACACACTCGCACATTCGAATGCTTCTTCAAATTCATCCGGTTTTTCTTCTAACTCCAAATGAAGGAAATTTTGGGTGGTCGGGTTTTTAGAACCGAAATGCGGTCAGACCGATGGTTTGATTTTAGCAGGTGGTTTAGAATTAGGAGTGATTATTCGAATAATCACTTATTTTGGAGCTAGACCACACCACTAAGCACTTATTTGTTGAGCTTATTTTTAAGTACTTTATTTAACTGCCTTTTAACAAATATTCATGAGCACTTGTTTGGATAAGCATTTATTTATTAAATAAGTACTCCCAAATATGGGGTTAAGAACTAACATGCATGGGTATGGCTAAAGACTCCGTAGGTTCTACCCAGAATCAAATGAAACCAATCTCAATTAGCCTCTATGTTATTTTGTAGAGTCTATTTCTAAATTCTTAGAACTAACCACCTGGCCCCCACCCAGGCTGGTTCTAGGGGGATTATTCTACCCAAACTGACAGAGTGTTTGATTTATGGGTGTTTATTCAATAAACGTTGTCACATAAGTGCCATTTTAGCAGTTTCCCTCGTTCTTTTACATGCATCAAGAATAGCAAAAATAGACTTTGGTTTTTGTGCACGTCTACTGTTTGAGGAAATTATTTTTTAAAACTTTCACAAAGAATCAGACATTTTTTCACTGTGATGTAGAGCCTAATGGTGTCTAATTGTCATAAACAATTGTAATTATTATTATTTTTTTAATTTTATAAATAAATAAAATTAAACTGATCTTCAAATTAAACTTACCTTAAAATATATCCAACCCGTAAGACAATGGATTCATATAATTACACTAACCTGACTGACCTGATATAAACACGATTCAAACCGAACTAATTATTCACTTAAGTAAAAGTGTAAAACTATTTCTATCAATTTAAGAACTAAAATATTCTACAATAATAGTTAAAGGGGTAAAATGGGTAATGACAAAATATGGGAAACTTCTAGAATTTCAAGAACTCAAAATCATTATAAATAGTGTCTCATACCGATACGAAAACTTATTAAGAATAGATCCATCAAACCCATTACGGAGGGAGAAAAACCCACATTTTCCCTCTCCTCAAAACTGAAAAATCCATCTGCTTGTCTGCTGTGCACCGACAGAAGATAAAGGAGAGGAAATTGACTTTCGAACCAGGATGCTGGATTTCTTCGCTAGTTCTTGAGCAGTCTCCAGAAATTTTTTTTTTGTAGTCCATCGAAATTTGGTTGTTTAAAAGTTAATATTGATGGTAGTTTCATCCATCGTGGGCTAGCTGGATTTGGGGCAGTTGCAAGAGATTTCAGAGGTAAAGTGGTGGCAGCTCTATTTGGAAATTGTTAAGTAGAGTGAGCTCCTCCATTCAAGCAGAAGCATCAGCAGCTATACAAGGACTGAAGTTGATCTTTTATATGGAAGCCCCATCTTTTTGTTTAGAAAGTGACTAACAGAATCTTATTAATACAGTAAATAGAGGTGTAGGTGGTATAGGTGCATAATTATCGTTTAGATCATCAAAATATAGAGGATATTGAATTGATACCACATGGATGCTTGCGATGAATTATAATTTATCAGTTGTTTGTGAAGATCTTATAATTCATCAAAAATCTCTAATAAATATACGATTCATCGCACGATCACGACAAACCAGTACTCGAGACGAGTCATAATAAATTTTAGCTAATGTGAATCTGTTACGAACTTTAGACGCGTGCGGTTTTGCGATGAACTTCGGATGCATGCAGATTTGCGATGAACTTTAGACGCGCGAGAAATTGTAATGAATGCGAGACCATTACAAAACCGTAGTATCACTGTAGACTGGAAATAAACATCGGGTTACACGTGCGTTTTTAAATTACGCACGTGACAAGGCGCCTCGTGGGTCTAATAAAAGAGTGTCCGCTAAATAATGACATCACTTGTGCCATGTTGGTTAAATAGGTCACGAAAGGAAGTAATACATGCGAATTATGAGAATCATTGGACGAAAGGAAAGTTCGTCCCAACAATATCTCGTAAGACACGTGGCAAAACCCTATTAGTGCTCCCTAACAATTAATAGTAGATCCAAGATTCTTTTTCCTAATTGGAATCAAACACTTTTGGGTCTTTCTTTCGGGACCTCGGGATCCCTCCCTATAAATAAGGGCCTATCTCATAATGCAATCATCATCTTATCATTTTTATTTACCCTAGCCTAAAACCTACTTCCTGCCTTCATTCATTCTTCGTCTTTCAAGGAAACCACTCTTAAGTAGCCTAACCATCGCACTTACAAGAGGCTCTCTAAAAGTGGCAAAAGATGCAGACTTTCTAGTTCAAGACATTTTAAACTCTTTAAAGGAGAGGAATATTACTATTTCTTTTGTAAATAGGGCTGCAAACAATGTGGCGCCTAGCCTAGCAGTAAGAGATTTGAAAGAATCTGGTTTTGAATCTTTTTCCAAAAAAAAAGAAAAAAAAAAAACTGCATGATTCTTGTTTGCCATTCCGTTCTATTTTAATGTCATATCCAATGCCTATTTTTTCATAAAAGGAAAAAAGGTTTCATGTATTGTTCTTTTAGAAACGTCCTATCATGTGTAAATCTAATAGATTTTGAAAAAAAAAAAATAGAGGACAAACCATATCTACCTTTCTGTGCAATGTATAGTATAGACTTGCAAATTAGTTAATAGCTCAAGGATTTCAACTTGATATTTCAATTTTTTCCTTATATTATGGCGAAACAGGATTTACGTAGTCGACTGCATATGCTTGAAATAAAGCTTAGATGATGATTTCTTTTTTTCGTTTTTTCAGGAGAGAAATCCATACGGGAAAGAGTCTGAAGACCTAACATACACACCAAGACTCTCAATCTGTCACAGCAAGCACAGATGTCTTGGTCTACAACAGTTCTTGCCATGTCCGGTTTCATCATACTTGCTCGATCTTTGATCGGTTGTCCTCCCTCTCAGCTCCATGTGGTTTTGATTTCAGTGATCAGTCCCGACCCAAGATGATCTTCACCCCATCAAAGGCTAGCAGGACAGACATTTTGAGGTCGTCCACATTTTTCAACCAGATTGCATTGCACCGATGTCTGGTTCCAATCTCATTCTACATGCATGCTTATTCTGTATAAATCAAAGTGGTTTCGATTTTCAATAATTCAGAATCATGGTTTTCAAAATTGGACTGGATCGGACGGTTGGACTGAAAAATCGAGAATCTGTTAGATTTCATTTTTCTTCAAAATCAGATATTTGCAGAAAAACATTGATTTAGTCAACAAACCGCTGACTTGGATAGTTGAACCGTTTATCAGAATGGGCTGACCATTTGATTTGAATGATCAGACCATTCGACCCAGGAACCGGACTCCTAACCAATTCGTTCTCCGGGACAATTTTAAAAACCTTGTTTAGAACAAACAAAGCCATCTTATAAATTGTCTGAATACAATAAATCGTGTGGAAGGTGGAGATGGTCCCTATTCCCTAACCCATTTTATTGATGACAATTGTTGTTCTCTGATTTGAGAGAAACTTTCTCCTTTCACTGCTAAGATCCAGTTCCATTGTTCCTCGTTGAAATACCCCATCATTCTATCCTTCCTGTGAGGATTCTTAGCTGTCATATGTGTTGGGATTCATATGGGTAGTTAAAGAGAATCCCATATTAGAAATGAATGAAAGATGCAAGAGACTTAGGTGGTATTTGATAATATTTTTAAGACTTATAAAGTCTGAAAATATTATTTTGAGTGTACTTGAATTTGGGTTTTAAAATTATTTTCAGATCTGAAAATAATAGATCCAGGCTAAGCGCTGAATGCATCCAGATGTGTTTCAGACCAGGCTAAAAGTTCAAAATATCCTTTAATTAAAGACATGCTTGCATTTCTCGCTCTCACTGTTCATCTTTTCCACTTGATACAGTGGCGAACCAGCGACGACAAGTGACTCCTCTAGTGAACCAACAGCAGCAAGTGATTCCTCCGTCCTTCTCTCTCACTTTCTCTCTTTATTTCTTTCTTCTTCTTCTTCTTCTTTCTCTGTGGTACTGTGGCTTCCATTCTCTGTTTTTCATTTTCAATTGCCGCTGAAACTCTCAACAGCAGCAATCTCTTGCCGAATCTTCAACGTTTCCGTCAGAATTAGAAGCCACAACAATTGTAGTAGAGTTGAGATATAGTATATGGCGTCACAGAGAATCAAAATCATCGAACAAGAAGAAGAAAAGCATATAAGGTTTGCTTGAGTTCAACTAGCAGGGAATGTCTGCATCTCCCTTGATCAATCGTTTATCTAGAATTAATTATTGAACAATAGAAGACGGTAGCGTGAAGATGATGTGGGATCATGGGCAGGCAAAACCGGAATCGTCACATTCAACTCTAACAACCGTAGTTTGAGAGAGTACTGGTGACTACTCAAAATCCCTCTTCGTTACTATTGTAGTTATGCTGCTCACAGTATTCATCTTTCTCCTTCATTGAACAAATTTTATTTGTATTAATCAAGGTTCAAAATATTGATATGCTCGATATGTCAGTAGTGGCGTATCGGGCAATATCGATAACTTTATTTTTATTTTTTTCAAATCTAGTTCACAGGGGCTGGTTTAAGGTCTGTCCACCCTTTGAACCAATCGAGACCCTAGAACACCCCTTGTAGGGGTGTATCGGGAAGCCGTTGATATGATACATATCGATGCTTTGAACCTTGGTATTAATTATTTTAATTTTTATTAATTATTAAATATTTTAATAATTTTAGAATTTTATTTTTCTAATTATTAAAATATTTTTTTCATTACTTCATAGACTTTATTACTATTTTTATTATTATTTTAACTTTTAATAATTATTTATAATTTATATGTATGCCCGTTTGGTTGGGCATAAGTATTGATAGACACACATGGTGACTCCCATGGCTTTTCCTGCTTTCCCCATAGTCGAGTAGTTGGCAAGAGCGGTTGATCTCCATACATAAGAATGGTGCTCCCATAGTTGGCACCCTATGTTTGCGGGCAAAGAGCTTTTGGTTGATGCACATCAAACTTAGCAATATGACAATGGTTTCCGTTTCGAGGGGGAATATGGAATTCCAAATGTGGAATAGACATATATACGAGTGGTTCAAGAGAATCCCGCATCAGAAAGGAATGAGAGGTAAATAAACTTCTTATACACAAGAATGGCCCATAAACCCTCTCTTCCGTGGAAGTCCTAATGTGTCTATGTGTATGAACCCCCCCAGTTTTAAGTTTGAACCACTCTCCTCAATGCTTAACAATATCAGTGCGCTGGTCTACTATTACATAACCACCGTAAATACCAATACCAATCGATGGGCGGTTCATCTGGTACGATTTCTGGCTTGTTCCAGCAGAGATGGAATTCCTATCCCACTGCCACTAACTTGGGGTGTCTTCTATGGGGGCACAGGTGCATCACCAAACATTAAAAAAAAATAGAATTGTCACTGGATCAGATCAACGAAAAAGACCCAACCGATCAACAATTATGGCAATACTGCGTTTGTGATTTATGTCGCGTTTAATAATTGGGTCTGAATCGGTTCTCGCTGTTCCGGACCAATTAAGATATAGAGGTCTCTTTATTTTGTTGTAAATTTTACTATATTTTGTTTTTTTGGACAATTTTTTAAAGTATTCCAATGATTTAAGAAATTGATTAATTCTACTCTATTATATAGTTTTCTGACAATTAGCATCGTTGATAATCATTAATAAAAATATGAAATATCGGATTTGCCTTTAAATATTCAAAATAAAACTTAACTGAGGAAAATTTTCAAGAACTATAATCTTATCTGCAACTCAGGTGATTTGGGATTAGAAGCTCGTTATCATCTGCATCTCAATCTTAAGCTGAAGCGGTACATATTCATGAGAGAGAGGGATTATAACGCTTATCGTCGCTCTTCTTTAAGTTTTATCTCACTCTATAGTGGCCATACCTTCTGTGATCTTCCTATCCTTGGCATTCGCGGCGATAACGTTTTGATCGATGGGTCTGGTTGGGGGGTTTTCTGGGTTCCTGTTTTATTTCCTCTAATAATCTTCGCTCCATTCTGGGTTGGGAGCTCGTTCTCTCGGGAGTGGTGTCTCATGTGATGTTGGGGTACACGGTGGTGGTGCCATTCTTGCATACTTCCTCCTATTCAGTGGCTTCTTCATGTATTTGGATATGGTTCCATTCAAGTTCAAAATATTGATATCTTCAATATGCCGGTATGGGCGTATCGGGCAAGTTGATACTGTTTTTTAGTTTTTTTTTTTTTTTCTGAAACTAGTTCAAGGGGCCAATTTAGGTCTCCTCCATCCCCTAAACCGGTCAGATCATGATACACCCACTATAGGAACGTATCAGAGGGGTCCCAGAAGGATATGTATCGACCGATATGGGCCAATACATATTGATACTTTGAACATTGGTTCCATTACATATCGTTGGCTGTAGAATGAATCCCTAAACCCGATGAAATGTTTCGTGAGAGGTGTGCAGATATTCAACAACACGCCACTTGGGGTGGTTCCTGATGCTCTCAAGTTAAGGTTGTTGAAGACGTTGAACAATTCGTTAGCATTTAGCAATGAACATCGACAAGAGGACAACGACATTTGCATGACGACGGTGGTGGACATATTGAGGATGCAGGGGATCAATAGTCGTAGTAACCTAGTAGGAAGCCTAAAATTCCCCAAAAATGGCACACGACTGCATGCAAGCGGGATCAGCAAATGGAATTCCATACTCTATAGCAAGCGGAAACCTTTACCTCTCCCCAGTCCCCACCAACGAATTCCTCGATGTTGCCTGAAATTCCCCTCTAACGAATTCCATCTTCTACGCATCCCACTGACGCCATCTTACCTTCTCGGAAGTCTGGCGAGCCGTCCATTCGGTTGCCACCTGCCTCTCCGAGCTGGGAATCCGAAAAGGTAATGCCGTTCGACTACTGTCCCCGAACAAAGAAAGAAGGATGAAGAGAGGGGGAAAGTTATAATTTTCAAGGATACTGATTCATCAGAGTTAGAGACAGATATAGAGATGGAGACAAAAACTGAGACGAAATGAAATTTAAAAAAATATGAGGAAGTCTATGATGCGGAAAAGATATGGTATGAGAAGAGTTTTGACCAATCAAAACCCACCCATGAATTTTGATAAATAACACTTGATTGGTTACTACATTTATGATTCCAGTTGACTGGTAAAAAGTTTTTTAGATATCATATCCTTTCCACATCATAGTCAAACCCTTAAATATCAGTGATGTTATATGTAAACAAAGTGTGACGAAAAGTTAATGGTAAAGGATATTAGACAATTGTCAAAAAACTTTAGGGTAATTTAATACAATATGTAAACAATAAGGATAGAGTTTAGTCAATTTCCTAAACTATAGGGGTACTTCAAGAAATTTACCCTTTTTTTGGGTATTGAATCACTCGCCTTTGTGCCTTCACGGGGGCTATATTTCATATTTTGTTAACGTAGTACAACACTTTTTTTCCGCAACATTCTAATAGCTCTTCTCAAAGGTGGTGTGAGCCAATAGTGGGGTTCAAAACTGCATCTCTTTTGGGACTACCCAGTTTATGTATCAACCAAGTCACCATTCAGTTGGTTTTGCTATATTTTGTTTGAAAGAAAATTTGATACTATGTATTATTTGTTTTGTTGTAATAAGATAATTTTAGTTAAAAGCATTTGTTTTATCAACACCTGACCAGTGTATTATTTTAAGATCATTTTTGTTAAGGTTATATTATAAAAAATGTTCTAAGTTGTTATTAACTTATTATCATGGATAAATTACATATGTCAAGTCAAGGTTTTAAAAACAGAACCATTTTGGCCACTAGTTTCTGGGTCGATGGTTCAACCATCTGATTCGAACGAATGACCCATTCCAACTTAAAAACATTAAAAATTAAAATGAAAAAACAACCAAAAACTATTGAACAGATCGACGGTTCAACTACCTGGGTGAGCGGATCACTAACCAAATCAACAATTTTTGGCCAAGAACCGGGTTAAGGGTGAAAATGGAACCAATTGCCGAAACAGTTCCCGGATTGAACAGTCCAACCATTTTGGTCAATATCTGTTCAAAAACACTATGTCAAGTAATCTCTAATCAGGTCAAACCCAATTATCCCAATTAATTAGTTTTGTTCTGGGTCTGTTTATACTTTTATACAATTAATTTGGCCGGGGACTGGTCCACCCTCTCTCGAATCAGGTCCAACTAGACCTGGCAAAAATTTGACCCTCAACCAGTGAACCCAACCCCAAAAAATAGGGTTAGGGTCTTATATTTAGTTACCTGAATTTGAGAATGACTCGACTCAACCCAACCTGGAAAAAAAGTGGGCTGGGTTGGATTGGGTTGGGTTGGGTCATGGGTCAACCAACTAACCAGATTGTTAGGTCTAATTGGGACTATTTATGTATTGTTACAAATTTTCACTCTTTAATCTTTACTATTTAACGTTTACTCTTTGAATTGTTAAATGTTTAAATTTTTAATTTTATTTTTGGAATTTAAAGTTAATTCCTTTAATATTGACATTTTTCTTGTATTTTCTCTTTATTTTTTTTATTTTCTCTTTTTTTTTTATTTCAATCCTAACCCGAACATTTAGGGTTAGGGTCTAATATTTTTCAACCCAACCCAAAATCAACCCGAAATATCTTGACCCAACCCACCCAACCCAATTGCCAGGTCTAGACCCAACCTATTGACAGATCCAATGCCAAAAGCATTACAAACTTTTGAAACACATCAAATCATCAAGCTAATCCATTTATTAACCCGGAACCAGTCATGACTTTGCATCCAGTTTTGGACCCAAAACCGTTTGATCAGAGTAGCGGTGGCCAAAGCAATTTCTTTTCCAGGTCGGTTTTTAAAACCATGATAGCAATAGCCTTCACTAAACTCCAAGTAGCTCTATCCATCATGGCTCTCTATTCCAACTTAGGACCTTTTTTGTGGACATATGGATTGGTTCTAATATCAATTATTAATTATTTGACAAAAAGTTTTTAAGACTACTGAAACATGTAAAACAGCTTTAAGCTATATAACCTTCAGTACCATATAGATTGGATTAAGTACAAGGTTAGTAGCGGACTCAAAAGATATTATATTATATAATTAATGAAATGCAAAAGAATTCAATATGTTAGTATATTTACAATCACAAAGAAAAGACATTTCATCCTTCCTGAGGTAAAAAAGAACCCATACAGAATGTCCAACTTTTTTTTTTACATGCAACTCAAGTATACATTTTCTTTTCTGGACGATGTGACCAAGTATACATTTCGCGTCTACTGTTATTGCAATTAAAAGTCAGGAGATCATTTGGAAACATTACCGTGACTCTTCTGTTGAAACATTCGAGTAGCTGTAAGTAAAATTTTCCATCTTGAACCCATTTTGTCTGACCTTTTTCCAGGAAATCTTCCATGTCTCGAGCAAACTTTGCCTACATTGAACAATCACAATTGTTGGATAGAAGTCCAAAGGGCAACTCAAACTAGATATTCAGAGTCACTATTCCTAAAGAAACCTGAATAAACTAAAGGCAAGGTGTGCTGGAAAATAAAATTTTATAGTCAACATAATGTTTTAAAAGGTGCAAGGGGCAAATTGTGCTTAAGGCGCAAGGTGAGGCGCACACCTTTTTGAAGCAAAGCCCAAAAATTAAAAAAAAAATGCTAAAAATAAAATGTCAGGAAATTAAAAAAAAATGCAAAAAAATAAGAAAATATTAAATATAACATTAATAAAAAATATATAACTTAATAAATGTTTTAAAAACCTATTATCTAAAATTAGAACACATAAATATAACATGTAAAGCGTATTAAAATGAAAATTTTAAAAATAAAATCAAACATATAAAGCATTTTCAAATATGTAAAACCCACAATCTCTTTATTTTCCCCAATTGCATTACTTCAAGTAGCTAATGTGATGTAAACCATATTACATTCCTCATTTTATAAGCCGCCTTTGTACCATGCCCCTCAAGACAAGCCCAAACAAGTCCATTTTAGGATCTTAAATTCTTAGTTCTCACATAAAAAATAATGATTTTGTAACTTTAATTGTCTTTTAAAAAGATACTTTATTAAAATGAATGAATAAACAACATTAGAAAATAGGGGAAAATAGAGTGTTCTTGAAGCTTCGGTGAACGAGCAAAGCGACCAAATTTAAGACCCTAACATGGACTTGTTTGGGATTGCCTTGAGGGGCATGTGCGGAGGTCCGGGGGCGGAGCCCTTGGCCTAGCCGCTAGGTTCAAAAAAAAAAAGCAAAAAAGCATGAAATTTTAAAAAGGCATACACCTGGGCTGAGGTGCAAGGCGCATTAGGCACATACCTAGATGCATTTCCATGCGCCTTTTGAAAGGGTTGTGCCTAGGACCTAGGTGAGGTGCATACCTAAAGTGCATGTCGCCAATGTGCCTAGGTACGCCTTTTAAATCACTGAGTCAACAGCTTTATGGACTCGTAATTGTTTCCTTTCTTCATTTTATTAAAATAAAGAAAATAAATGCAAATCAATGTACACATAAAATTAGAGACCAAGAGATAACTCAATGGACCTTTTCTGGCACCTTGGCTCGATGATTCATAACAAGGGAGAGATCAAGGAGGATGTTGCCCATAGGATTAGAACAGGATGGACAAACTGGAGGGGTGCATTTGGAGTATTATGTGATAAGCAAATACCACTTAAATTAAGGCCTTGTTCGTTTACAATTTTGTAACTTACTTACCCAGGTAAATGTTTCCTTGGTGACACTTAGGTAAATTCACTTACCTATGTTCTTTTGATTCTCAGGTAAATAATAGAATGACTTTTTTACCCATAAAAGCCAAAGTTAAAATGAGCAAACTTGTCCCATTATGTTTTATAAACTTTCCCCCCATGTGGGAAAATTACTTACCCACCTAGGAAATGGATGTTTTACCCAGGTAAGTGAAACTGATTTTACCATGGGGCCCAATACTTAGTGCAAAAAGAACACTGTAAAATTGGCCAATGGGAAAAAGAAACCCATTGACCAACTTTTCTCCTCTCATTTATCGGTAAACGAACAGGGCCTAAAAGGAAAGTTCTATAAAATAGTCATTAGGCCAGCTTTGTTGAATGGGCTAGAGTCATGGGCAATCAAGAAACATGTCCAAAAATGAGTGGCAGAAATGCATGGGTGAGTGGAAAACCTAAAACTAGAAAGGATAGAATCAGAATTGAAGTCATTTGAAGGGGCATCAACAGCACTTATAAGAAGTGATTTGTTGCAATGTTGAAAGGTCTAGGAGTAGACCAGAAAGGAGACAGGTAGCAGGAAGAAATGATTTAGGCACCAATAATTTAACAATGGAAAAGGCATTAAACGATACGGAATGGAAAAACAGGATTCATGCAATAGTTGGGATAAGGCTTTGATGATGATGATGATGATTTATTTATTTTATATTTGGGATTATTCCAGCAACAGAGAAAATGATACATGATACTAAATGCATTATCAAACAGCGTAGTGGAGAGCCACTATGTATTAGCAGAGATATAAGGATCCATGGATCTTTTCATTTTCATTCTTTTTCGAATAAAGGTGAAGTATATTGTATTGAAATAAAAAATGTGTATAGTCTGTTGAGTGGGCCGGTTTGTTTTGTTGAGTGGCCCGATTTGTCTTTAGTTTGTTTTTATTTAATTAGGAAGTTGTTGGGCCTTCGGCCCATTAGTTTTTTATTTTTTAAAGTTGTGACTATTCAGTTTTAGTAGCTGCCCTACTAAGGGCATCCTTGTAATATCTCATCTTTAAGTTAAATATAAATATAATGAGGGGCTGG